AATATTCTGATTAAACAAGTTGCTTTGTCTGCCTCTCGATTGTCAATTAATGTGAACTGTAAAGCTGAGATAAAGTATTTTGCCGGACTTTATGTGTGACATTCATGCAGCCTATGTCAGATCAATAAAACATGGTTTACTTGCTTTTCAACAAAATGTTACCTTTTTGGTTTCGCCGAAAGTCACTTTCTTCGCTTCCACAGAACCACTCCTGAAGGTTGTGTCGCTGGTTTGTAACCAGTGGCGCCCGAGCCACAGGTGTGTTTCAGGTGCAGTCGCCAGTTGCCTGCCCGTCCTTGTTTTGTTCCAAAACCATGAAATACGTTTGAGACGCTGTTGCAAAAGGGACCACTGCTCCTAGAATAATTATCAGGTGGAGCCGCACCAAAGCTTCTTTTTTCACAATTGGTATTTGTAGGGTTTGCCTGGTCAGTGTATTTGGACACAGTAAAGTGCACATGCAAAGAGTTTATAGCAACTTCCTTGTTGCCAGTTGGGTCCTTTAAGAGCCCTCTCAAACAGCCGAGTTGTTTCCATCTGTATAACCAAACCAAGTCCTCGACCGATCACATCAGCACTGATGTTTGTGTGTGGATGGAAAAGGTCTCCGGTGGGTTTTGTTTGAATTCGATCGGTTGTTGAAAAGGTAGCCAGTGGAGGAGGGGTGACGATATTCACTCTGACGGGACAGACATTTGTCTTCTGGTAAATGTTTGTCAATATCAACACCATTTAGATGTCTCTGATTGTGTGCAGCCCCGCAAATCAATATGAAACACTATTTGACTCTATTATTGGATTTACCGGATTTTAGCATCAATGTGAAGAAGCGGCTAGATGGTTACAAGTTATTTAGTCACTACATATCAATTACAATCATTATCATAGTGAATTAGAATTACATTTATCCTATTAGGATTGTAGATTGTGTTTGTAATGCATGCGCTTACTGAGGCGGTGGGATTACTGTGCTGAGTATAAAACACAAAGCCAAACTGCTGCTTCGCACGGCGTCTCTTGGTTTGTTTTTTTTCTCCACTGGCTAGAAGCAGCGTTAAGTGAAATGTTTATGAGTATCACAAACCTTTTGACATTTACTGCCTGACAGACAATCGCCTCACAGAAACGGGGCGCTTGCGAAACTTAATTATTACCTGCGCACATATTTATGCACGACTGAATGCTGTAAATTCAAGCATGTGGACACATCCTGTTCTCTCCTTGTTGTCTGGAACGTGTGAGTTTACAAACCTTCCTCTCTTCTGTCAGACAGGTCAGATCCTGAATCAAACAGTGGTACATTTTATATTCCTATGCGAGCACTTTTTTTTTTCCCGTGGAAGATTCAGTTTTGAGTGACACGCAAAAATGTTTTTCCGAGAGAAATGATTGAAAGAGATCTTGTTTGTTCTTCTGCGTTTTCAATATCTCACATCGCCGCATCATGAAAGGACGAGACGGTGAGCCGGTCGGAGTGAGAGAGTGAGGCAGCGTGACGGAAGGAGGGCGATTCTAGCTGTGACCGCCTTTTCAATCCTCCATCAATGACATTTATCCCGCTCAGCATTCTTTCGGGACTTCAAAGCGTCAATCAGCAGAGTGACCGTACTATTGTGTGAATCGTGAATATTCATTAGTGTCTTTCTGATGTCTTGTGAGAACAAGGATGTCTGGATTTCTGTGAATACACACACCCTCAGTAAGGAAAATAAGCATTTTGGAGAGAAAATCAACTACCGTGGTATCATGCTTAAATGTTGACAGTGCTACATTGGCCTTTCTTCTTACTTAATTACTTAAAAGAACCTTTATATAATAGATAATACAAGCGAAAAGCGTGAAGATGGAAAACAGGTGCGGCCATTGTGTAAAATCTGTATGTTGTGGGACTAAATGTTTTGTTGTTCATATTACGTCTAGTTGTTGGTAAAAAGACAATGAGGAAAGGATGAACGTCTTTGTCTGGCTGGATGATGAAGACCGTGTCACGCTTTTTTCTTTTTTTCTCTCTTCGCAACCCGATTGGACCGTCTGGGTCCGGACAGCTGTGTTGCCACGGGAATAAACTGCTTTCCAGGATTCTGTGACAGCGGCTTCAACACTGAGCTGCCGAAAATCCTCCTAATTTCACAGAGCCGGGGGTCAGCGCGGCCCCCGGCGGGAACATCGCTCATGATACGCATTCCATCCCGCCACAGAGTAATTGCGTCATCTGTGTTCTGCCGCGGCTTTTTGTTTCACTGGTTAGTGATGATTTTTCACAGTCATCCGTCCCGGGTTCACTGCGCTGTGCGATGAAAGGTTCGCTCGCTGCTTTTTAAAGTCCTCGTCTGAAATAAAAACCGCGGCTCATTTTCACGGCGCATCGTGGCCGGTGTTATCGTAACGGTCTCTATTTCAGAAGAAAATGTTTTTTTTCCTTATGAAATGGAGACAGATTATTACAAACAAGGAAGCTGCGTCAATTGATCTCTGGCTGCTGCCGGGCGGAACGTCGGGGAGACGGTTTGCAAAACAAATTGAAAATAATCGTACGGCTCAGCGATTTCCCCCCCGCTCGCCCTCCCGCTCCTTCTCCCAAATTCCCACTCTGCTAAGAGGTCAAAGCCAGAAGCCAAGCGCCTTGGATCACAACATAAAAAGAAAAAAAGATGTGCTTGATAACTTCTGGTGGTGTTTATGTGGCAAACTATATACCTTACAGTTTCTCTGTGATGCATGAGCATTAACTATTAACTATTATGACAGTGATGGAGGTGGAATGTTTCCGTCCGTTGAAGAAAGTTGAGCAATGAAACCACCGATCTTGTATGAGGAGTGGACGCCATTTTCCATGATGGCCCTTCAGTCATTACAACAAAGGTTTCTCTGCGGGCGCATGCACACAGGAACTTTGTCAGGCTCCCCACGTGTGCTCATGCTCAGTGCTCCTGTGGCTCGGCCAGCTTGGTGACGTCCTGCTAAGTTTTCACACTATTTTGAGTTATTTGAAAGCATTTTTGACCCTTCGGAAAAATTGCATTTGCAATGTTCCTGTTTTACTCAAAGATGTTGGCTAACATATTTGTGGTGGACAAAGAACCAGAGACTCTAATCATTGAAGACATTCTTAAATAATTTAGCACTGCACTTGAAGTTGAGGGGCTCGCAGGAGGAAAATGAAAAAAGAATCGTCATCAAAATCCAAACACGAGAAGCTGTGATACTTGAGTGTTGCTGGATCCGACATAAACAACAACGCAGCTCAATCACGTCTTGTGAGACTTTTCCTGCCTGTAACCCATTTTGTATTACAAGCTTTCTATAAAAAAAACATGTAGTCTTCAACACCCCAAACCAGGTTAACCATTCGGGGCCAGAATAAACAACGCCTTTATTTTCGCATTAAGTACAACTCTCCATGATGAGTAAACCCAACCTTGACGTGTGAATCCTTCTCTGGTGCTCGCCGGCCAAATGTGACTATTTCTCATTCCAGTTGCAACAAACATTGGTGGTTCTGCAGAACCATCGAGTCGCTCACGGACTGACTTCTCCGGCGGTATTAATCATCCTGACGACAGACGTGCTCTGCAGAGGAAAGTAAAGAGTTAATTTTAACAAGTTTTCCAATTGAGTCCCCCCCCCCCCCTTTTTTTCTGTGGCAAAGTGACCCCCACCCACAGAGCCGCTCACTCCCCCCCCCCCCCGAGACCCCCCATCCCTGTGGGCTGAGGAGGCTGTCTGAGAATACAGGGAGGCTCCACGCTGGGCGTTTGATGGAGCGCAGAAGGGTGTGTGTGAGGTGCACTGACCCGTTCACATTGCTCCCCATGCACTCGTGCTCCAGAAGAGGCTGACTTATCACATGTAACGCACAGCTCTGCACAAACCAGAAGGGACAGCCGCGAGGCTGCAGGCGCACCGACGGGGGGGGGGAAGTGGCTGCTGGGAGCCGCTGTTCCCACCCGGTCGGACTTTAGGAGAGGACAGGTGTGGACGAGAGAAGCCCATTTGTTGTTGTTTTTTCACCCTCCTCCATCACTGCTTTAACACTGTACCGGGACTTTTTTGGTGCTTCTTTTACCTCCCATATTTGACACTTCTACAGATCTTGAATGTGTGGTTAACTTTGGCCTTCTCTGATGTGTAGGCGCTCTAGTTAGACTTGGTGTAATCCGTCTAATAGCTCACTTAAGCCTCTTAAAATGTGACTCACATAAATCTTCACCACTGGAATGTCTCCCTATGGTTGTCATTTTTTCTTCTATGGTATTGCCTGTTTGTGTAGGTTGGATTAGTGTGCAACTGCAAAGATGTGGTGGTGCCTGGAGGTGTGAGCTCTAATCGCCGCTAATCACCCCATGTGTGATGGCCTGATCCCTCTGCAAGTGTTTGTGTTTTCACCCCTTTCACACACGGATTCACATGAGCAACCGAAGGCGACGCGGCCAACGTCGGATCTTAAATACCAGACTCTTGGTTGCAGATTAGTGACCCGGCCTTTGGCACTCACGCAGCACCTGTGTCTCTCCGGCTGCGGTGCCGGACACATTACAGATGACTGCAATCATCACTTATATCCTTTTTGTGATACGCAGACTTACTTTGAATGTGGAGCTGTGTTGTTGACATTTACAGGCGTACTGTGGAAAAGGAAAATACTCTGCAGACACAATAGATGTGCAAACTCGAAATATCCGACAGAGCTGTAAAGGGAAAGAATTTCATGCAAATGTAGTGCAGCAACTTATTTTCTCAATGCATTTCTTTGCAACTCCCCTTTCTGTGTGTACGAGGGGTGGAGGTGGGGTGAGAATATTTCATGTGCTTGTCTGTGTGTGTGAAAGAGAGAGAGAGAGAGGGTGAGGGAGAGAGAGGCTATACGTGGATTCACATACCCTCAGCTGCTCCCTATAGCGAACCGGTCATAGAAAGGGCCGGGCAAACAGCACAGTGAGAGAGCAACTGAATAACACCCCCCCTCCTCCCTCTTCTTTCTCTGTGTCCGTCTCTCCCAGGCTGTCAGTGCGGAGTAATGCTGGAGGCTGCGGGGCTGCAGTGTGCTGTGGGAAGTTCCTGAGAGGCAGAGTGGCAGGCGCGCACACAGAGAGACACTTGTGCCCGAAAAACGCGGACTGACGCTCTTTTCACCGGAGGATATAAAACGCGGCCTCTCGCCTCCGCCTCTTTGCACGGGCGCGTTCGCTGTGGCTGCACCTCAGGGATTTGAAGGAGGCGGGCGACCGGAGCCAGGAGGGGAGTGATGGTGGCGTCGTGGCCGCCTCTGGAGGGGACCTGGCGGGCCGTCCTGCTGGTGACTGGACTGGCATGGCTGAGCTGCGGGTCTGATGGTGAGTACTCTGCTGGACACCGGCTCACCGGCTGTGTGTGTACGTTCGAAGTCACGGGCAGGCTGATGGGGCCGAGAGGCCTCCGCGGGATCGGCTCAGCTTCATCGCACACTGGCCAAACTGTAATGTGAAATTAGCAATAACCAGATTGAAGGATGCCATTTGTGCACATTTTCTCCTTGGGGGGGTGGGAGAAGGTTAAATGCACTTTATTTTTCTGAAGTCAGAGGCGTGATTTCACGCAGTGAATTGTGAGCGTTACTGGTTCTTCGTCTTATTTTTTTATCCTGGGTGAATGTATGATTAGCAAAAGCTGTTGGGATCTTAACAGAGGGCCCCATTAAAAACGGGTGTGCGTTTGTCTGCCCTGTCTGCTCCCTTCCCACCGCCCCATCCTCCCCCCACACCCCATGTCATGTTTTGAATTGTTTGAAGATGGAAAGCCAGTTGTCTTTTTACAATAAATGCCGACAGTGTCATGGTGCGCTGTGACAGGCGGGGAGGGGTGACCAGCTCCCAAGAAGCCTCAAGAAGATGACACTTGTGCGTTTGTTGTTGCAGGGGAGTGAGAGACACATTGTTCTTTATATGTGTTGGTAGAAGTGGGGTTTGCAATTTCCAGTTTTAGATGCACACTAATTGAAATGGTCCTTTTTTTTTTTACCATTTCTTTGAGTTGGCCTGTCACACATATGCAGATTTCACTTGTGTGCTTTTATTTCCCATTTGTGAATTGTTATTAGAGGCGAATCAATCGATTAGTAGCCCTAAAGAACATTTATTTGCAACTACTTTCATGACTGACGTTTCTTTGTCTTACATGATTGTAAAATGAAGATATTACTGCCAAGACAAACCATTTAATACATTACCTGGCTGCAGGATTTTGCCATCGTTGGCTTATATTCCTTTTATTTTATACACCAAATAAGTGATTGATTAATAGAAAAGATTCATTGATAGTGGAAAAATATGCCTGTGCTACTTTTAATGATTTATGGGGAGAACTTTTGCACACAAAGAAAAGTTGGCGAACACTTATTAACAACACAGTTGGGTGTCAGGCTGTGAAGACAACATCTGGGTGCGGACACACACACACACACACACACACACACACACACACACACACACACACACACACACACACACACAAACACAAACACAGTGATTTATAAATTTGGCCTTTCTGGAATATTTCCCTCAGATGAGGGAATATGTGTGTGTGTGTGTGTGTGTATATATATATATATATATATATTGTAACTTCACATTTGAAAACAAAGGGATGTTGTTTGATCCTGAAAGAGATGCTTCACTGAAAGTGTGTCAACAATAAAGAGCAGCTGTAAAATCCCAGACTGAATGAGTAGTTCAGAGCTATCTGTAACTTTCGCAGTTGGTCACGAAATACGTCAGCTGCTGATGAATGTTTCTTCAGAGAAGTTCCTTCATTCTCATCAGTGCAGACTAAGCGTAAGTGTTTAACTTCTCATCCAATATTGACATCCATGTCTGTGTTTGAGGGTCAGAAACCACACAGATAGAAAGGATGTAGGAAGATGGAGTGAAATTCAAAAAGAATTTAGTCAATTTCCATGACTATATATGGGGTCGGTCACTGGATGTTGCTGTTGATGCAGTTAAAGCTGTGAGCCTTCTTGGAAAGATTCCACACCAATGCTCTGTCTGCAATATTCCACAGTTTTACTCCTTCCGTCCACTTTCTTCCGTCACTACTTGAGCCACCAGTTGCTTATTTGGTTTCCTCTGTGGTAGTAAAGGTCGCCCGAATGGGTAAAACATGTGGGAGGTTGACCATAAATCAAAGTGGCATGGTCAATGTGCCACCTGTTGCAGTAGGCTGTTGTGGTTCACAGAGATTAGATGAGCCCCGTTCTCATTCTTGAAGTTACAATGCAGTGGAAATACAAAGGATTTGGTAGTTGCATTGATTTGTTCAATAATACACGTTATGATGATTAGGGGCGACAATAAAAACCCAATGTGTTCCGGTCATAAATGCAAAGGGAACTATTATCTATATTGAGAAGTTGAGATGTTTCTTGACACAAGCAGTTGTTTTTTTAATCTGAACCTGTGATGGGAATACAAAGGGAAACCGTAACTCCACCACATAGCACTAAAACACGTGACATGTGAACTCAACGAGTCAGTTTCCTACTACTATGTCTCGTGTTTTCTTTCACAGCGATCTTTTAAATCCTGAAAATGTCAGTGCGTCTCTGTAGGAGTGTCTCTCTGTAAGGACTTATGTACTTTGAGTTTTCGTGTGAATGACTTCATCAAACCTTTTGGTTCCTTTTTATTCGTAACACTGTGGATGATTATTCTAGTTAGCGGCTGTATGGATTTAACATTTGTAACTGTAACGTGCATCGACTCACTTCCGTGAGGACATCTGTGTGTTGTTGAGGTGCAGTGGTCCAGAAGCTGAAAACAGCAGCAGTTGGTCCTCTGCAGCCTTCTGCGCGCTGCTTCCTGTCAGGATGTGGATACGGTTCCCCCCACGCAGAATCCGATCCCCAGGCAGATGTGCTGCTCCAGCAATCAGGAATGGCGGCATACACTGCGTGTGCCTTTTAAGTGTTTGTTATTCAGCCGCACCTCATGAGCTCTGTGAGGTTTAGATGCTTAGGACCACTTTTTGAGAGTTGGTGGAGTTTTTTAAACGGACTGTTTTTTGTTTTATGTCAATACATATGGGATTATGGAAGTCAACAAATCCAAATATATTCTAAAATGATTATTATATTGTGGTGGTGCTGTAATGTCTGTAATGAAGCCTTGTGGCTTTTCCCAGTAACATCAGACCACATGAATAGATGTAGAATAGATAATAGGAATATTGAAGGGACAATAGGATTGAGTTGGTATGCAGGGACGGCTGCCACATATAGACACCACACTGGGTGCGAGTGTGTGTTTCATTATATTACCTAATGTGTTTTTGTTTAATCCTCGGTACGTCCCTAATGCTGCTCTGATGTTGTGTGGTTTGCATATTCTCCACATGTCAGCAGTGGCTTTAAGTCCCGGTCTGTCCGCTTCCTCCCACTGTCCATAAAATGTGTAAGTAAGGTTAACAGATGACTCCAAGTTGCCTTTACGGGTGAATGTGAGCGTAATGGTTATCCGCCTGTGTGGGTCAGTGATAACCCCCCTCCGCCTCCCCACCCCTCCGCCTCCCGCAGGCCGGAAAAGTGTAAGCGATTACAGACCATGAATTGATGGACGTTATTATATAATGGTATAATAATAATGTGAATATAAACATTTTTATGGAATGGAAATAATCCCAAAGTTGAAAATAAGTGTGGGATAAAGGAAACGCTTGTTCTCTACAATATATCACTGGTTTCTTTTATGTTCAAGTCACTCTCTGTTCCTGGTATTCATCAGAAGGCAGCAGACGTCCGCGTGTCTGCTGAGTGTTTGAGTATCGCAGCTCTCTGTTGTGTTCACACCTCTGTGGGACGTTTGTTTTTCTTCTTTTTTTCCTATGCACACATTGTGAATGCCCGCTGTCTGCACGTGGAACGGCGTCCACTGCGGACGCCCCTTTCGTCCCCTCCGCCTCAAAGTGACCATCTCCGTCCCCCAGAAAACGTCACTCTGGCCGTGGCCGGTGGACGGAGGGCAGGCTGCTGGAAGCTGCGCCGTGGAAACGGTTGCCCCGATGCGGCCGTGGCAGATGCGGAGGAGAGATGGTGGAATGTGTGTGTGTGTGTGTGTGTGTGTCCGTGCATGTACGATATGTCCACATGCTTGAGTCCTTTGAAGCCTGTAGGGGGTTGAGAGGGACGAGGGTGGCGATGGTAGGCCGGACGGGGATGTATGGCCTCTTTTGCAAGTTGGCTGTGACCTCCTTGGGGTCAGAGTGCACACTGGAGACACCGGGGAAGATGGCTCCTTTGAGGAGGTGATTTATATTGGCCACCTGGAGGAAGTTATCTCCCTTTTCTCTGATGTCTCTGCCTGTGAGTAACTGTCTGTGTGAAGGTCTCAGCACACCGGTTTAATGGCTGTGGTACTCTGAAGTTAGCTGAAACAACCGTGTTAATTGGAACAAGTTATGCAGAGATTTACTTTATTTCTTAGATGTTAAATTAACAATTATCCTTTAATTCATCACTTTTAAGAGAAGCAATTCGGTTTTGCTTTTAATTCCAGTTATTTTGTGAGGGAAAGCCTCAATAGGAGTGGCTGCGTCACACCTTGTCACACAACAAGGTGCACAAAACAAATCCACAGTTGCCATAAACAATATGAATATTCATCAGGCACTAAATTGAAAGATCTAGAGGCCATTCTGCTTTAACCTCTGGGATCATATTAATCATGTTTTTCATACCACATATTTCCAGATAAACGCTTCAACAGGGCAGAGCAGCACACACACACACATAAGGCTACAAATGAAAGGGACAAATTGCATTCCACTCTCCAAGGTCACAAAGCACATTTCTTTGTGAGACTCAACAACGATCCATTCCGAAAGATCCTTCAAGTACAGTTCTGCCTTTCAGCTCTTCTTCTTTTGCTATTGCATTGCCGTCACACCATACACGGATTATTCAAGTATGTTTACCTTGGTTTAAGATAATTCCCCTCATCACCGTTCTAGTACTAGCATGACCTGGTGATATATACAAATAAATGAATAAAATTGCAAATGTCCTGCCAATGCAGTAGCCTGGTGTTTATGCTGCGACTCAACTGTTTGGGGAGTGAAGGATTTGGGTAATTGAAGTAAAATAGACATTTTCCAGTTTTTTAGTTGTGGTTATAACTATCCGCTAGCCTGCTTCAGATGGGTTACTGGTTGAGAACAGATCAATAGCATATTAAACATTTACAATAATTAGTCAATTCATTATGGCTCAAGTTTCTTTTGTTCTTTACACACATTTAAATGGACCGACAAACCCCAACCTGACCTCGGAAGAACAAGGAAAAGCTCCCACAAAAACCTCAGTGACAGTCACACAGAAATAACACCTGAGAATAAGCAAAGAAAGGAAAGTTAAATTAAAAAAAAAATGCAGCATTGAAGATTAAAAACACATTATATCATTCACATTATATCTGATGTGTGGCGATGTCAGTTCAGCTCCTTTGTGTCATTAGCATCGTCGTAGGAGCGACCACAGTCCCGCTTCCTCTGTCGACATGGAAAACCTCCGCGGCAGTGTGGAGGGAGGAAGACAGACCACACTGAGAGATGACAAACGCGATCAGGAAGGAGACACGGGAGCCGTCATCACTAATTCAGATATTTGGGAAGGGCTGAGATGCCAAAGATGCAGTGCCAGTGATGAGCAGTGACTGGAAGTCTCCAGATGGAGTAATTCACTGTATGCAGCTTATAACTGCTTCAAGGGTGCGTGCGTGTGAGTGTGCGTGTGTGCGTGAGTGCGTGTGTGCGTGCGTGTGTGCGTGAGTGAGTGTGCGTGTGTGTGCGTGTGTGCGTGTGTGTGCGTGTGTGAGTGTGTGTGCGTGCGTGTGTGACTACTTTGAGCAGCAGCATGTGGAATGTGTGGGGGGATGCAGATCAGATTTCGGGGTGACCTTAAACGTGTGCCCCCGTAGCTGACACTGCAAGTACTTTTGTTGTGTGTGTGTGTGTGTGTGTGTGTGTGTGTGTGCAAGGAGACAAAGGGACAATGAAATATGTTCAGTTCTGGGTGCGTATGAATAGACTTCACCTGAATATTAATACAAATAACTCAACTTTTGATTTGATTGACCCGAACCTGTTGAACTGTGTTTTTTTGTTATCTTCCAATTGATAGAGTAGTTGTAGAGTATTTAACGCCTTGATGATTTTTTTAGCCGCCTCTTATAAATGTGATGATTTAGCAAAGGAAGAAAAGCTCTTTATTTGTAGAACGTTTGCCAAGCGTAACAAAGGTGGCCTCTACTTAACCGTGAGACTCCTGCTGGCTTTACATCCTACGGCCTTTTTATTAGTCTGTGTAACACACAGTGTGACTGTAGTAAAAAGGGTTTTATATACAGAGTAAGACAGACTTCCTCCCCCGACACACACACACACACACAAACTTTCTATGACCACAAATCGTATGTTTCCTAACGTTCCATAGAGACATTTCTGCATACTGTACACTCACGTCGTAGATTCACTCCTAGATGCTAAAAATCCAGCTCCTCATGCCCATGTGTTTGTGTTATAAACATGACAATAAATGACAATCACACTCCCAATAAAGGTTATGACAAGCCTGTTGCAAACCGAAAATAAACAGGTCTTTAGTCCTTAGTGAGCGGTCCATAAGGTCTGCTAGGAGAAAAGTCTGCTGTGATTGGATTGATCATTTAGTTGTTACTTGTCAAGTTCCCGACTGCACTGTAAAATAACAGGCTTGTTGTTGATTGATGTAGGAGGTGCACATAAACTTGTTGTGCAACCAGTTATGTGCTTCCACTCTGCATAGTGTGTGTTAAACAGAAAGCAAACTAAGCACAAATAACTGCAGTTTTATGATATAATTCATTTCATACATGATCACAAGAGGAAAGAACTGGACATCCGCAGCACTTACTAACTTACCACAAATCAACCGTGGATTTTTCCTGTGGAATGATCAATAAGTGAATGCTGATTATCACAATATTTCTTCCAATATGCCAATAGTTTTTTGATTAATTAAGTTGATTAATCAATACTTTTGTATGGATTTACTTTTTTTTTTTCAACCTTTGACTGATGAAATGATCAGCGAGCTTCAATCATTAATACTTTACATGCACGAACACATAATTTTTTTTTCTTTGCTTTTCTTTTCTTTTATCACATTCTCTAATGCACAATTTCTTTTTATGTTTGTATTTTAGTATATAGGTGGAGGCTTCACATAATCCCAGTTGGCTTTTTCCCTCTTCCTGCACAATAATATTCATTTATTTCTATCTTGTTTGTTTATTTTGTATTGTTTAAATTGTGCAAATAAATTTAAAAAACTTGGCTTGACATTAAATGTTATTGTTCCCCTCAAGTGATAAACACTAATTCATGCCACGTATCCACTGACCTATATACAAACATACTAATGTCAACTAGATTCTGAGAAGGAGGATACAAAAGGTGTACAAGCTATAATTGACAGTATAAGAAGTTCCTGTTTGTATAATGGCTAGTATACACAGTAAGGAGTGACAGTGTCGTCATAGACTAGTTTGACATTTAACAGCTTAACTTTGTTGTTAATCGCTTCTTTAGACTTTAAATTCAACTTTGATTTGGAGCAATTGATTTATTGCCAATCAACTTAAAGAATATCCACAAAAGAAAGGCTGAGCCCTGAAAATGTGGTAGTGAGATACTGCAGCCTCACACGCAATTCCAAAAAGCACTGTGTACACAATAAATACAGAAGCACTAGACTGAAAGACAAGCGCGAGGACAAACACACAGACACACCTACACACACACACACACACACGCACACGCACAGCACGAAGACCACTTTCTGGTGCGTACTGTTATTCAAGTTCCAGACATCATGCAGGTACATTGAGTCCTTAACAGCACGAATGCTTTTAACAGCACTGTACATTCTGTGGATTGCATCGCCATGGTTACCTTGCCAAGCAGGCCGAAATATATGATTCAATAGACCCTGACCAGAAATGCTGTTTGGGTCCTTTGATTTATTCCGTCTTTAATTTCCCAGAGGTGTATGTGTGTGAATGCACTTAAGTTTTGCCCCGCCGGCTTTTCTGGAGCCAGAGGAGTGACCAGATGTATTTTCCTGATTCTGGTTCTAAGTCTCTCTCCCTCTCTCTCTCTCTCTCTCTCTCTCTCACTGGCTCTAGCCAACATGTTGGACACCATGCTACTGAAGAACGGGTGGAAGGGGGGATCGGAGCGGGAGGCGGCGGAGAGCGGCAGCGCCGCCCCCGCGTTGGCTCAGAACATGCTCCGCTGTCACTGCTACCACCACTGCCCAGAGGACTCTGTCAACAATACCTGCGTGTACGGTGCAGCGCACACAGACACACACAAGATATAGTGTCAATAACCAGTGTTGATACTGGATTCATTCGGATTCAATAATCATCGAACCCCAACATCTTCTGTGTGAGGATGAAGACGATGAGGAGATGTTTAACCATGTGATGATGTGTGTGCATTTTGGCAGCACTGATGGCTATTGCTTCACCATGGTGGAGGAGGAGGAGGAGGTGGGTGTAGCAGTACTCACTGCAGGTTGCTTGGGTCTTGCCGGCTCCGAGTTCCAGTGCAGAGTAAGTGAGACGTGTGTTTCCCTCCTTGTCTGTGAATGTGTGTCCTTCTCGGTCGTTGAGTCTCAGTGAGTCTTTGGTGATCAGACGTGTCTTCCCCCACTAACAAAAAACATTTGGTACATCGTTAAATCTTCTTATCAGGAGTAACATGTGTCTTAATATATTACACCACTCTTCCATACCACTCTGTCTTCATTAGTTATAAGTGGGATGGCATGTTCGTAATGTGTGTGTGTGTGTGTGTCTTTCACAGGACACGTGGAACGCTCGTTTGAGGAGAGCTGTCAAGTGTTGCACGGATCAGGATTATTGCAACAGAGAATTGCATCCTACGCTTCCTCCACTCGTGACATCAGGTGAGACACACACACCTGCTGGCGCAGGTAGTCCCGCCCCACGCCCTGCAGAACCGGCTCATTCAGGCCACGTCGGGTGTTGATGGGTAGTGACAGTTTAAACTGTTACAAACCACAGCGTGGCGCTGGAGTGAAGTGGTGCACTCTGATGGGGGGTGGGGGGGCAGATAGAGAGAGAGAGTCAGGTGAAACAGAGCCTGTGGGCTCGGTTGTTCTCTCACCCTCTAATGAAAAGGACAGCCTCTCCCCGGGGCCCGCTTGAGTTTCTTGCCCTGGGACGGATGTGAGATATCTGTCCATCTGTTACTCTGCAACACATCAACACACACACACACACACACACACACACCCTCTCTCTCTTTCTCTTCCCTTTCTTTTTCATACAAACTAACCGTTACACTTACAGCCTCACGCACTGCGTTTTGACCTTCAAAGCAAACAGCGACTAACTAAATAGCAGGAATAAAGGAATATTCAAAGTTATTTCTTGTTTTTCGGCATCAATTTCATACAGAACAGCACTCTTTTTACCATCGTTAACACTTAGTTGAGAAACATTGCCATCTTGTGCAACAACAAAGGAGAAAAATAACGAGTTCCCTGATCGGATGGGTTGTAATTACGCAAACGGTTCAGCCAAAGGCTTAAAACAACTTTATTTGGGACCAAAGTCATCCTCTTTGCTTCCTCTTCAAAACGGTTTGCCAAATAGCCCAAGCTAATCTCTTCCTCCGTGAGCTTGCATGGCCTTCATGGGACACTTTGCTGTTCACGCGGAGCTTCTGTGTCCACTACTCCTCCTTTGTGTGTGTGTGTGTGTGTGTGTGTGTGTGTGTGTGTGTGTGGTTTCTGTGCACTGATTGGCAGGAGCACAGCAGAAAGGCTAGAGTCCCAGAGCTGCTTTAGGCCTCTTGGGGGTCTGTGCAGCGCTGTCAGCGTGACAACTGATCCGTGCAGTTCAGGAAGGGGACGTGATCGATCACACGCTGTGAGAGTGGGGGCTGCAGGGAAGGAAGAGAGGGGCCGAATGGGGGGAAAGGAGCTTCATGCTAATTAATATTAGAAACAGTTTTTTTTAACAAGGCTTGTATACATTAACTCCAAATCGAAAGACTTTCCATCCAATAATAAAAATGACATGAAATTGTTCTGATTATCGGTCTCCCCACTTGTTTAGATTACGTTGACAGCGGCATCCAGTACATGGCTCTCTTCATTTCAATCACAGTTTGCAGCATCATCCTTGGCCTCATCCTGGTTTTCTGCTGCTTTAGGTAAGATTCTAGAAGACATCTCATGCGTGTATCAACCCCGCTGACGAGTGGACAGACTATACTATGACTTTTTTGTGACATGATATACTATTAACTTTTATTTTTCATATTATTGGTCTTTGTTATTACCCTTTATTTTTTTAGGAGATGATAAATATCCTATGGCAAGTTAGTTACATATTATACTATGACAGTGGTAAACAAGTCAGTCCTTCTCTGCCAATAGTATAACTACTTGTTATAAGTCATTTGGATGGTGTACTACTACAACACCGACATCTAGGTAATACCCCCCCCCCCTTGTTACGGCAGATATAAGCGCCAGGAATCCCGGCCGCGCTACAGTATCGACCTGGAGCAGGAGGAGACCTTCATCCCCCCTGGGGAGTCCCTGAAGGACCTGATGGAGCATTCCCGCAGCATCGGCTCCGGGTCGGGGTCAGGACTCCCCCTACTGGTACGAAGAAACAAGTGCACGACTCGCTCAGCATCACAGGCCGGGCCCTCGTTGGACAGTAACAAATTACTGAATTGCTTCTTCTCCTTTGGACTTGCTGAAATGGCTGAAATCTGAATTATTTACAATTATTCAGAATTCCTTTAGAATAATTAGGTGGTTATTATGTGTAGCAGTGCTTTAGTACATTAAGATAGAAGGCTCCTTTCATGACAGCGCAACTAATACAAAAAAGCAAAAGGAAAGACTGTACACCGTGTAAATATTTAAAGGGAATATGTATGATAAAACCACACATTCTTTCTTTTAATCTAACAACCCGTCGACAGGTGCAGCGCACAATCGCCAAACAGATTCAGATGGTTAAGCAGATTGGGAAAGGGCGATACGGAGAGGTCTGGATGGGCAAGTGGAGAGAGGAGAGAGTGGCTGTTAAGGTCTTCTTCACCACGGAAGAAGACAGCTGGTTCAGAGAGACCGAAATATATCAGACCTTCCTGATGAGACATGAAAATATACTGGGTAAGGTGATATAAATGTGGATTGTTGAACAAAATGTATCGTGCCGCTTTATACGTGCAAACACCTGTCATCCCTTTCTGACCAACCCCCAGGATTCATAGCAGCAGATATTAAAGGAACCGGCTCGTGGACTCAGCTCTACTTAATTACAGACTACCACGAGAATGGGTCTCTGTACGACTACCTCAAGTCCAACACCTTGGACGTCAAGGCTCTGCTGAAACTGGCCTACTCCTCCATATCAGGCCTCTGTCACCTGCACACGGAGATCTACGGCACACAGGGGAAACCAGCCATCGCACACAGAGACCTGAAGAGCAAAAACATCTTGGTGAAGAAGAACGGATTCTGCTGTATCGCAGACCTCGGACTGGCTGTCAAGTTCAACAGGTAGCACATTTTTGAACATTCATCTTAATAGTTTGGGAGCTCGGACGTTTCTTGAATTGTTTCTGCTTCTCGGCTCTCTCGCAGTGACACCAACGAGGTGGACTTCCCTCCCAACCTACGCGTTGGTACGAAGCGCTACATGCCCCCCGAAGTGTTGGAAGAGACCCTGAACAAGACCCAGTCCTTCATAATGGCTGACATGTACAGTTTTGGCCTCATTGTTTGGGAGATGGCCCGACGTTGCATTTCAGGAGGTTAGGGAAAAATAAATAAATCCTACAGCACATTTTGTTACACATGAACTCAAAGGAATCTTCTTTTAAAAAGAAGCACAAGAACATATCGGCCTCATTAACGTAACAAAATTATTTTTTACTTTACACAATCTAAACATATCTAGATGATTTTTAATGTATGTTTTTTGTCTGAAGGCATTGTGGAGGAGTACCAGCTGCCCTACCACGACCTCGTGCCCACAGATCCATCCTATGAGGACATGAGAGAAGTTGTCTGTATTAAGAAACAAAGACCTTCATTTGCTAACCGTTGGACGAGTGATGAGGTATTTTTAATGTTACGTTATACACACTTCTTGAAAAATGCATAGTTTAAAAGTATTTACATGTGGTAACGGCTTTATTAACGCTTCCTGAATTAAACATTGCATGTTGTATAAAGCCACGCCAAGCCATTAAAAACACTGTGGGTTGGCAGGTTGGTGCCTATTCTGCACATGGATCACTCCAGAGTTGTCACGTTAGACATGTATCAGACGTGACAAATGAGCGTCTCAAATAACCAAACGCCAGGAGCTGTTCAGTCATACTGTAAAATATAATAAGCGGTTAATATCACATGAACTAATGTGGTGTTCTGACGATCTAGAGCTAAGAAAAAATGAGTTCTTTATGGCATAATCCACACATAATCATTGTTTCAACTTGCAAATGTTTCTGATGGTTTAATTTTGATGTACTTCGTGTCTTCAGTGCTTACGGCAGATGGGGAAACTGATGTCTGAGTGTTGGGCTCACAACCCAACGTGTCGCCTCACTGCCCTCCGGGTGAAGAAGACTCTGGCGAGAATGTTAGAGACCCAAGACGTCAAATTGTGACAGAAAGTTGAGAGAAACGCTCTCATCACCAGAGACTTGTCACTGCCACTGGCACAGCGCCACTTACACTGGCTGATAATAATAATAATGGGGTCGTCGTGGCGCAGGGGGGTAGAGAGGGTGTGCTGGGAAGCACAAGGTTGGTGGTTCGAGTCCTGACTGCCTCATGTTCCATGTCGAAAGTGTCCCTGAGCAAGACACCTAACCTCTAATTGCTCCCCGGGAAAAATGTAAAAAGCCACGGGTTAAAAATGTAATGTAAGTCGCTTTGGATAAAAGCGTCAGCTAAATGACCTGTAATGTAATAAAAAAAAAGGAGGGGCAGCGAGGACAAGCGATAGTGGACAGGGAGCCGGAAAAGTGAGAGGATAAAGATTTATTTTTTTGTCAGGGCAGACGTTCCCACACATCGTATGAGCCGCCTCGGCCTCCGGTTTTGCTTTCCGTGAAAGCTGAGTGGTTGTCAGGTCCAAACTGCAGACGGGGACCGTCGGGGGAGACGAGCACTAGTGTCCGGCTGCTTGGTTCTAAACAGAGGAAGCCTTTTGAAGCCATATGTGCAGTCTTTTGTACTGTCACAGCTCTCTCGTGTTTCTTTTGTGGCACTCGTCCATCAGAAGAAGTGTGTAATTCACGACCAGTGACCTCATGTTCAGTTTTATTATTGATGTTATTGTTGTTATAATTATTACAGAACTAGGGCGAGTAAAATAATGGCAAAACGTGGGCAGCAAAGCAGAGCTTTCGTAATAGTGTTCATATGCACATTTAGATCAGTGTTAATAAAACAATCTTGGCACAAAACACTTGATGAATTTAGGAATTATTCATTTTCCTTCAGAGCGCGGCTTTGCTCTCCCTCATTGTCTATTCCACTAACAATTCAATTGCATATGATTCAGCTGACATCTATTGATGGCTGGATGTTAAAATGTATAGTTGATGAATTATCTGTGTCCAGAATATGTTCCGCTCACTTTTACCACTGTGGCATGTGCCTTATTTAATCTGTACATATGTGATTGATGAGTGTATGAGTGGATCTGGATAACATTCCTGAATAAAATGACTATGCATCTCAATGCCCTTTCTATTTACGTCAAACATATATACCATAAAATGCATGTTATTAATCCCACAATGCAGACAAATGATATTGTAATGTTCAGATAAAGATCTCCATAATGTCGATTCTTTTTCTGAGGGCATTGTGGAGGATTATCAGCCGCCACATCATGACCTTGTGCCCACTGATCCGTCTTGTGAGGACATGAGTCACGTGGGGTCACCAGGGAATAATATGTAATCTCCTCCACATGTGTCACTGCAGTCCAGTGAAGTGAGCCACCACAGTGGTTTAGTAACTTCAAATGGTTAAAAAAGACTAAATAGATGAATCGAAGCAGCCCCCTGTGTATTTAAAGAGCTAGGTAAAAAACATGTACTAGGCCTTAAAATGTTATATTTTTATATAAGAGTTAGGCAAGATGTTGTCATCACTAGAGACTTGTCACTGCCACAGCGCCACTTACATCAGCCAATAACACAAAGTCTCTACAAGGAGTCTAAAAGGTTTATTATGTTACGAGAGATCTGACCTCCTGTTGTCTGAGCCGCAGTATTCAGGTTTTGCTTTTTGTATTTGTTTTATATCATTTATATATATCCATCTTATTAAATATTAAAATAAAACCTCTACATAAATTAGTTGTCAAAGATGAATTTTGGAATTGCGTTTGCCTTTCAGAGACAGGCTTTGCTCTTCCTTATTGTCTCTTTTTTTCCTCTCATAATTCATTTGTTTATAATTTAGCTCAAATCTCTTTTCGCTTGCTGCTTGTTAAATGTATTTTAATCAAATTATCCAGATGACAATCCCACTGAGGCAAGTTTCTAATTTGATCCAAACACATGTGATTAACTGTATGAGTATATAAAAGAACTATGCTTCTAAAAGCTCGCCTATTTATGTTGAACTGAAACAAATGAGATCCTCAGGCTCCATTTTCAATGTTGCATATAAATATAATTTATTATTACGTCTTAAAAATTCTTTCTTACACTTTGTACAATAACTTGACAGATGAAATGCAAGCAGTTGAGAGGGACATCATGAATGGCAGAAACAGGCTACATTCTCACTATACACAATAATAAGCATGAAGCTGAGAACAACTGGGGAATGCAGAAGGCTGAGCCCGCTGAGAATGATGACATTGTTTCAGAAAGATGCAAAGTTTGCATAGACGCTTTACGATAACTGGGACAACTGCCATTAAAAAAACAAAATAAAACCAAGAGGCAAACAAGAACACTTGGTCACAGCCACAAGTGCTGCTGCATCGAGGGAAACGTTGCATTTACAACTAGCAGATTTTTTTTTCCGTGTCCTCAAAACACTGATGGCTTATGTCATTAATGTTCTAATACAGAAGTCGGAGTCTGTACTCCGAAAATGAGGGATGACAGTAATTCAGTTCTGGATGAAATAAATGAAACTTTCTATCTGATGTGTGATAGTGTGATGACCACCCTCTATTTGACCTCATACACTGTATGTCAATTATTTGGTACAAAGCAGTTGTATTCAGTTGCATTGGTCCTACAAAAATATACTTATTTATTCACTTGTCTAAAGTATCTACCTCTCAGATTAGTTTCTTTAATGCAGATGATTTAATCTTGAACAACATACGAATCATCAGTCATTCATTTTATTCAGTATGGGAATATTATCTCAACCGCCCTTTATTTAGGGGTGAAAATGTATGTAATTATCCAAATGACCCAATAATAAACATGCAAAGAAAATAAAAATCAGAACCAATGCAACTTATCAAAAAGATTTCAAAGATCTAAAAAAATAATTACGTATAAGAAACACACATAATTGAAAATCATTAATTATACATGACATGAATAAAAAGTATTAAAAGTAGTTACGACAGCAAGGCTAAATGTGTAAGATGGTTACATTATTGATTTCCCTCTGTACACGTAAAGGAGTCCTTACTGCAAGAGTCCACCTGGAGGTGCTATGGTACAGTCAAACATAATGCAACAGGGAACAAAATGCCAGGACACTGAAAAATATTCCTTTACAGGCGGCATTAAAATACAAAAAAAAAAAGATATGTATAAATAGGCATATTATTAAATACTATGTTAACACAGGACACATACTCATCCATGGGGTTGCTATGGAGACTGTTTTGTGGCGAGCGAGAGGGATTTCCTCTCATCCGAGCCGTGTTTCTTTGCTCCTTTTGACCTTAGTATCGCACTTCTCAGACACGTGTCTATGGCGAGGGCATCATCCGCATACACGCAGCCTGTCCAGATAACCGGACAGCTGTTTCCAAGGAAACAAGAGCCAAAAATATCAAGTCGTCGTACCGGAAAGAGAGATGGAGAGAAGAAGAGCCAGAGAGAAATTACAGAAATTCTTGTTTACCCTCTAAGTTTTTAGACCCTTTGTTGCCGAGGTTTAACTGGGTCATAGCCGAGTAGACCTCTAGGTTTCTTTTTTTTCTCCCGGCGTGCACGCGTGTCCACACACAGTACCTTTGAGTGTGTATCTGTCTTCGTCTTGATGCCAAATGACTCGCCTGTTTTTCCCGGCGTCCACCGCTCACATTTTATTTTCGTGTCTACTTCTTCCCCTGGAGTGTCGCAATCGATCGTGGGCGGCTTTCAGTGTTCGGTCGCTGCAGGAACGAGGCTGTCGTGGCGCCCCATCTCCTCCAGAACCTGGGCCAGGCGCCCGAGGTTGCCATCGGGAAAATGCTGGGCCTCCCACAGGTCCAGGATGACTCCCGTAGGACTGGATTTGGTGGCAAAGTAGTTAAGATACCTGAGGGAATGATTGTGATAGAGCAGAGACAGATTTCTTCCATGAAATGGAACAAAGGAATTGAAATGGTTTGAAAAAGGATTTCTACCTTTGGTAAGATTTTATGGGAAGGTCGTGGCTAAAATGCGTTATAAGCTCATTCAAATAGGAAAAGTCTTTATAGAAGTCTATATTACATGCAAGACAACCTAAGTGTAATAATGCTTTATACCTTTATACCTTATAACGACAGTATAAAGGTATAAAGCATTATTACAATGACAGGTTGTATCTTGATGGACCACAGCATATGTAAATGTGTACATTCCAGTTTTCTATTTATTGAAATTCAATAATTATTTATTGAATATTAAGCATTCAAAACATGATATATCATGACTCAAGTAAAGTGACAAATATATAAAACTATGAGCAACTACATGACAAACCGACTCAATTATGATGACTTATTATGAGCAGTATTATCTGACCGCTGGGAAAGATTCACAATGATTATCAAATTATTTAGTTAGTAAGTAATTTGTTCGAGTGGTGGATTTTTATGTGAAAACCATCGAGCCCCGTGTAGACGCCGCAGTGCGAATGAATCATCGCTGTGAACGAGAGGCCGGTTCGCGCGCTTCCCTCCTTCGCGCCGCACTCCATCAGTGGTCTCCTCATTCTACAGCTGCTGCCCGTGATAAGCCCCCCGGCCCCCCCACTGAGCTGGGACCTTACAACTGGACACACGCTGTATCTCCATCAGACACACACACGATTATCAAAGGCACGTGGGTGACGTTCTGAAAGGAGAAGCGTCTTTGTGTCTCGGTGCCTCTCTTGTGTCTGTCTGAGTTTAGTCAAACTCAATTAATCTCAATTCAGCAGATGCTTATCACAATGAGCCGCAGCGCCTCAGAAGAACTTCCATTTCGTTCCCTCTGTTATCTTGTTGCCCAATTCCAGTGAAAATAAAACATTTGGCCGCTAAAACTGCACATTAGCACCGTGAAAGAATAGCGAGATTTTTTTTTCTCTCTTTCATTTTCCCTTGACGAAGGCCAGATTGCGACCATTAACACTCTTAATCTTAAAGTCCTTCTCCCCCTCAGACAGCCTTTTTCCTCCACCCACCTGTCAAGGTTAAGTTTGTGGGCCAACATCCTCCAGTCGTTCCCCCTGGTCTGCGGTGCGTCCAGACTGCCGCACAACTTCTGTCTGATGGAGACTGGGATGCGGAAGGCATTGGGCCCCACCAGCGTGGTGATGTTACTGGCAGGGTCCAGCAGGGACGTGTCAATGCTCTGGGAATCCTGCTCGGAGGGAGAGACGGATTGAAGGAGGGACACAGATGTAACGTCACGTTTCACAAAATGAGCCGTAACGTATCTCAAAAAATCGATCCACCTGTACAGAAACGTTCTGTTTATAACGTTTGCATTTTTTTTTTTATTGACCCAAGTGACAGATGTTGAAACGTGTGGCATCTGGAGGATTACAGGGCCGGAGGTCTGGCTAAAGGAACCGGAGACGAATGAAGAAAGGTCAACGAGGGCTGCAGCCCTGGACGGCGCGTACTGTAATTCATCTCATTACAGAGCACACGAAGCCACAGCGCTGCGCCGTCCCTCAAGCTCCATCCTGCTGGCCAGATGGCCTTTGTGAAACAAGTGCAGCACAAGTGGAGGGTGATTATCCCCCCTGTGCTCTGCACCGGCCTGTCAGGACTATGTGGAGGCCGCGAGGTCGAGACTTCACGTCTCACACCCTGCCAGTCTTTTTGTGAACTCTGCAGAAGTAGGCTGAAGGACGCGGGAGAGAAGGTAAATTCATTCAAGTATCTCTCACAACGCAGAGGGAAGGAAAAGCCTAATCTACATTACGCAGAGTCTATTGTATTTATATGAGCTATATTGGCGGTAATCTAATGTAGTTACAGCTTCATAAATGGTTCAGTCTCTAGTGGTGTGTCACACCGAGAACAACAAACAATATGCATTTTTGCTGAATGCCGTTTGACACGCGGGGGTTTAACAGCTCAAGTGATGGCGACAAACAGCGAGGCTGACAACACAACAGTTTCACAGCTGAAAGGGAGGATTTCAAAGCCCACCTCTGACAGTGTAGTGTCCAACTGAAAGATCTGCCCCTCTCCCTCCACCTGGCGCACGCATATCTTACAGGCCAGGTCCACAGTGATGGCCGAGAAGCGCTCCAGGGTGAAGCAACAGTGGAGGTTCCTCTGCGAGCCGCACCACACCTGCTGGAAGGAGAGCTCCTGCGGAGAGGGGGAGGGTTACGCAGCTGACGGCCGGCGCGTAACACAGTGCCGTTGTCTTTGGCTGGAGAGGCGCGTGAGCCACTTTACCTGGTACTTGGCGAGCAGTTTGCTCTTCCACAACGCGTGGGGCACATCGTGGATGGAGAGTCTCAGGTTGTGGGTGCTGTCCTTGAAGTTGAGAGTCTTTGGTTCGTCCAACAACTTGCCACCCATTTGCTTCTCCATCTGTAAGACTTCCTGAAAACACACACACACACACACACACACCCTTATACCACCATGTGGACGTCACATATGCCCGACAGCTTTCATGGTGATCTAGTGGTGATGGCGTATTCATCGCTGTCCCTGTGGGCTTTAAGGACCTCGATCAGGACGAGCCATCTGAAACAAACTTCAATGCCTTTGCAGCAGGATCCCTATCACTGTTCATTACCCGTCCCCGAACTTAATAACCGTGTTTAATATCCCCGCTCAGTATAATAATCCGTCCTTATCTTCCCCCCGTGTAGGTAGATGGAGGTATTAAACAGAGGGAGACAATAGTGGAGCAGAGGGATAAAGGTGGCTTATTTTGTGTTGGCGCAGCAGCTACATCTTTCCAGGAGCAGCGGCGCTTTACGAAACGCAAGTCTCCCCCCCTGTTGTGACACACCGACACAATGATTTCTCATTCCGCCTCGCAAAGCTCATCCGCTGTTTATGCCGACACACACACACACACACACACACACAGGAACAAAACATTTCCTTTCTGCCACATAAGCTTTTGCAACCACGGTTCACCTTGAGGGAGTCCTGTGTGTCGTCCAGGCAGTAGACCCTGATGTGATATTCCATGGCGGGGCAAGTGACGGGCCCGAAGATGGCGAGTTTGAGGCGCTTGGTCGTTGAGGCGCTGAGCGATTGGCCCACCAGGCAGGAGGTGCCCAGCGTCTCCGTCAGGATGTGGCAGGACTCGTCGTCCATTTGGACGTAGCACGGCGTGGTGAAGTTCTCCTCTCCCACCACCACCACGTCCTACGTGTGGAAAGACCCAACACATATAGTTAAGGGTTTCGTAATGTTATTACATAGTGTTGCATAGAGGAGAAATATATAATTATAGCATTTATGATGCTGTCACTCTGACTCTGCTCCCCACGCGTTGTCTTATATGCCATTATCGTCACATTCTTTTCTTCCAGGGAGCTTGTTTGCGGCACAGTGGTCATTCTCTAACTTTTAATTGTATGACATAAATGTTTTGTCATTGAATGGTAAATTTATAGCAACCACAAATGTTTTTTTATAAATCACAAGATTTATTCGGATTGGTCAAGTTTTGAAATCTGGTAGAGACAAACTTTGGCCAAGTAGCTACTTTGACATTTTTAGACCACATGAAAAATTCCATTGCCCTTTTTCTCCCTGAGAAACTGTATTTGCTAATATAGGCCTTTGAAGGGGGAATTTAAATTTTAACATTCAGATCGATTGAGGTTTCACGACTCGGGTCAGAGGACGGACGGAGAGAAAATGACTGACATGGAAAAATACAATTTACAGCGGGTGGATTATTATAACTATTTCAGTCACAAGGAGGAGTAAGGCAGCAATTTCCATTGAAACCGCCAGACAGTGAGAGCTGAGACGGGGACAGTGATGAGATGGGATGATTGTCAATTTATTCAAATAGTTTGGATACTGCTACTGAACTGAAAGTCGTGAAACAAGAGAGAATGTCCCTGGACAAAGAAGACACCACATGTCTACCACGGAATGGACCAAAACATCTGCTTCCATCAGCTCATTTCAATTAGCGGTAAATTGACACGTACGGGTCTCTTCGAGTGTCCGACCACTCAAAGCGCTTCAATTGTCATCATTCACCAATTCGCACATATTCATGCACGGACGGTAAGGTGCAATCAGGGGGGGGGCACTAATGTGTCGTTGCTGTGTACGTAATGGACATATTTATTTTCCAATATGACCAACCGCCTGGTCAGGAGAAGCCTCCCCCCGCCCCCACCCCCCCCGGATCTCTGTTGATCTGCCCCCCCCCCATCTCTCTCTAATCCTAACACTCCTGTGAGCAGCACATTGGCTTTAACTCAGCCTATTATGAGAGACAGAAGAGGAATTACAGTATTTTATTGTGAGCTGGGCCGTTTAACAGCAGTATTATGGCTGATCATTAGACTCTTCAACTGCTCCTAAGGGAAGGCGCTGGGGCTCCTTATTGGGGGATAATTAGAACACACAGTGGAAACGTAGGCTTTTGCTTCATACACATGTGTGCCGGCGCAAACGTGGAACACACACAATTATTCGCAGAGCGTTCATGATTCACAAATTCGTGACTGCAGTCATCAGCGCCGATTTTTTTTTTGTCTTGGAGGCGTGGGAGGACGGATCTTTGCAGGAGATTTACTGGAGCAGAAAGCCCCACGTGTTAGTCATTAGTCATATAGATTCACATTTATAGATATATATGTGTATATATATACACATATACATATATAGAGATTTGTAGGATTTGTCACTTCATCTCATCTCTCTCATTTCTACTGTTATGAATACACACTTTGACAGAGCATGTCGCATAAAGCAATAATTCACACGTGCATCAATGGAAGCTCAGGGTGAAGACAAGCTCATATAGAGGAAGCTGCTGCTGCTTTCGGTATTACTGCATGCATTTCTGACAGGTCAGCGCTATAATCAATAGCAAGCGTGTAATCACATCCGCTCCAATATATGAAATGAGGATAAATGTTCACCCCGACATTTTCACATAACAAATATTCCAGACTTTGTTGGAGGTTTTGAGCTCATTTGGATAAAAACATGATGCAGACTGACCAGTAGCACAATTTGTTACCTCCAGATTGCGTTAGACTGAATATACACACACACACACACACACATGCAGGCCCACAGACAGCTCACTCGGCCCCTCCCAGTTTTGCCCTTCATCAACATTATTCCTTCTTGAAAATACTCCGCTTACACTGAGCTTTATTGGCTGTCTCAGAGTAATTCATCAACGTCGAGGAGCCATGCGGGCTCAGTCTGGCGGTTTCTCTCTGCTTTGAAAGTCATATCATCTGATCAGCAGAGGAGATTGTGCAACGACGTCCTAAAAGTGATGGTGTTCAAGCCACCACTCATTGAACTGACAGATATATTAGATACAGGCAGGTGCTGTGTTTTTTCTTCAAAATGTGGCATTTAAAGTATGCGTTAACATTTAGCTTTATCCCCTTGCCAACAATGGTATCCCCTTCAAATGGACGTATTATTCATTCAAGCCGTAGCCTTTGCAGACCAAAATCCGAATTTTTAATAAAAGGAAACACGTGTTGTTCTTTCTACTGCTTTTCATTCTCTTCATGTGAAGCCCTGCTGTTACACAATTGATCAGCTTGAAGGTGTTTCTTTTACACTTTGAGCCACCTTACTCTTTAAAAGCACACTCCAGGCTATGAACCACATGGAAGCTTACTCAGAAAGGCTCTCGCAGGTCAGCTAATCAAAATCCTACGTGTAGCTGGTGTACTACACATTTTCGGGGGAGGGAGATGAAATCTAGAACAAATTTAAAGCAGTTTTTGTAATGAAGTTGGAAGCACATTTCCTATTCAAATGATCCGTCTGGGGCAATTGTAATTTTTGTGCGTCTGTGTGACAGACAGTGCAAGTGAGGAGGAGAGGGAGAGAGGGGGAGGGGGGGGGGGGGGGGGTAGGCACAACAGATTCACTCTGCTGCTTATCATCACCAGCTCTGTTAGTGATGCAACCTGCAGGCACAGGGCTTCCAAACACACAACACACGCACAACCAAAACAGTTATTCATAAAAAGAACAAGAAAAGGGTCTTGGGTAAAAAAAAAACGTCCCAGCCCGTTCCGTGCGATCACAGGCTTTATATTTCAGCTCAGTATGCTGAGCTTGAAAACAAAGCCGCGGAAGTTGATCCCTCTCACCTCCTCCACGCTGTCCGCGGTGCTATTGCCGCTATATTATTTTGTTTTTCCCGACACCTTTTCCCCTTCTGCTTTGCTGGGTCGAATTTTCAACCGACCAAATGCACCGTGGATGCGTATGAATCCCTTTTGTGCATTTTAATTTCAGCTGGCAGAACACAACCCCCGCGATGCGAATTCCTCACATTACTGCCCAAAAGCCCATTTTTCAAAGACACAGTTCTCCTCCCACAGCTCACCTCCCAGTGGCTCTGCGGCGACTGGCTCTTCAGCTGGATCAGCCAATCCTGTTGGCCGTCAAACACGGCGCAGTGGTGCATGGTGATGATGAGGGGCCGAGTCAACAGGGCCCCGGGGGGCCCGCAGCTCACCACGGGGCTCAGCACCGTTTGGCCGTCCTCCACCGAGGGCCTGGAGGCGCACAGAGCGAACAGCACGCGTTACTGACAAGGTGACGCGTATGTGTGTGACGTGGTGGCAGTCGACGGGCGGGGGGGGGGGGGGTAAACACGGCTCTGGGGCTCCGGCGTGGCTGGCGGGACACTGGCGTACCTCATGTTGTCTTTCCTTTGAACTGTCACGTACATCTCATACACTCTGCCCTGAGGAACTGGCTCCCGCTGGAATGAGCAGACTCACGCCTGGGGAGACACAAACGCAGCAAACAAAAAGGCACACATGAGAGTCGGGAGGATTGTTTGCTGGGCATCTTCTGTTATGAGTCACGGACACCGTCAGACCAGCATAAGAAACTAAAAATATATTAGTACTATGCCTATTTACACAGTGATATTATCTTAATAATAGAAGTAGAGCAATAAGCCCAATTCCCTTCAGACTCACTTTTAACAACTAAGGCAGTTTATTGCCTTCTCTTGCGGCTCTGGGGGGAACGGTGTGACATTTCATCTCTAAAAATCAATGATCTCTCTGCTCTTCATAAAATTCTCATAATGCTGCAGCCAGCATGATCTACATTTTTCCATCTCGGATTGATTTGATATGATGTCCTGTCCAATGCGTTTGTTTGGGACTCTACCCCCCCACCAGCACATTCCCTAATGCGCACACATACACAATGAAACACACACACAGACATTTTCCCTCTGCAGCGGTTTCTCAGATAGCTCATTGATTTCCCATGCATGTCCTTGTACTGAAGTTTCTAAAAGGTGACAGACAGCTTCTCTTGCTACCTAGCGAGGCAATCACAACTCTGCCACGGGGACGTCTCCCGAACTGCCACTCTCCCTCACAGCAGAGCTTCAAAAGAGTTAGGAAATGCATTTTATGATGCAAAATACCAAACAGGCACACCGGCGGTGCCAGAAGATATTTCATTACCCAGACTCACAACAACAGATCAAATATCAAATGTTCTCTTCCCTCTGCCTATGTAACATGATGAGGTGGCTGAGCGCAAGCAGCTGAGAAACATTTTTACAGGAATCGAAAACGCAAAGAGGAAAAGTTAAGAAACTCGAGGAGTCGGTGTATCCCTTAATGCCTCTGCTGGTCCGTCTTTGTCTGTCAACATGGATTTCTGGCACGTTACCACATGTGTTTGAAGTGAGGACAGCGCGGTTAATATAAGCTGCATGAAACAATATGCCTCTACGTCAGTACCTCCAGTGCACACACCTCAACCCCGTCACACTGTGTCAACTCAACACTCTTGATGAGTTGCATATGGTTTGGCGTGTTATTAAACGGTCACATCTGCGTGACGTGACCTTAATCCTGGTGAAGACGGCAAAGAGATTGCTGAGGTCTTTTACATCTGGAACACAGTTTTTACTGTTATTTAAGTCTAGTTTAGTCCACATTTCCCATAATGTTCCCGTCTCAAGTACTCATCATCAAAATGTGTACTGAGAAATATGAGTATTTACTTTCTAACAGAGACTTGATGAAAAGATCAAATGCTGCTGTTGTCTTTCCGCTGGACGTAACAAAGCATGAAGACAGGAACCAGGAGGAAGCACCATAGCTTGTCTCCGTTCCCGAAGGTTCCAAAGTCTGCCTACTAGCACCGTTGAACACGCAGTATCTTATTCAAGTGTAAAAAAACGATTTAAAGATCATAAAGAACATAAGAACCTAAAGATACCAGGAAGTCACAGCTCAAACCCCCAAAAAAACCTCGGAGGTGCCCAAATCATGGTATCTTTAAGAGAAAAATGCGAAAAGGGTCAGAATATCATCACCTGTTATGAATTAAAAAAGCATCTATTACTGTGTATATGCGAAATGATCAAATATTTCTCTGTTCATAGCTTTTAGACGTGTTTTAGTTTTACATTTTGTCTTCAACTCTCTGCATATTGCAAATCTCTGCATATTTTGAACATGTGAGTATTCAATGAATCACAGATTAAAAAAAAATCCCTCTGGTGGTCTGGTACAGCACCTGAGTTGGGCACAATGAGGTGCCCCCCCTGGGAGCTGAAGGAGCCCAACGCGGTGCAGGATGGATCCCTGGCACGAAGCAACGTCTGGGTCTGTGTGCGACGGCCCATCGTGCAATCGTTGTTGTCCAGCAGGCAGTGCGGCAGTTTGGGCGACAGTTTGGAGGCGAACTCCCCTCCCAGGTCATCCTGCGGGGTCACCAGGCCCGACGAGTTGTACACCTTAATCTTAGGTTGGGAAGAGGGTCCAGCAGGGGGGAATTAGTCATGGGGATCTTGTCGGCCACGTCGTGGAGGGCGTAGACGGGGCCGCGGTACATGGCGGCCGCCGAGGTCAGGTCAGGCGGCGCTGTCAGGAGATCGGCTGGGGAAGAAAAGAAAAAGGGGGGGGGGGGGGACCGGTCAGAGGAAACGCCGCGAGCAAAGTCACGCGGTCATCGCAGGCTTTTTTCCCCAACTGGTAGGAAAAACAACTTCACGGCGATACAGCCACGAGGAAATAACGTGTTGGCGGCAATCAGCGAGGCTCCTGCCCGACTTTGTTTTTCAATCATTAGGGAGGTCTACTTCACCACCAAGAAACATTACTCAGTCAGAGGAGTTAAAGGGCGCAGCTGTGATTCACGAGTAACAGATGGCATCGCTAACGCTCAGTTTACCCAAAAGGTACGAGGACTAATGTTCAATAGCCGTGCTGTGAGTGGGTGGAATGATGGCCGTGGGAGCGCTGCGTCCTCCAGCTTTTCCACTACCTCCGACCCTTCTCTACTTTCCAACGCCAGCAAGTTCCTGCACGCTGCACATGTCAATAAAGGTCAGGGAGTGTTAAAAAAACAAACAAGCGATGGGAAAAATAAGGACTTTTTTCATTACCATCTTTTTTTTTTATAAAGTGGTAGAAGTCTTCATGTTTGTGTGATCATTATAAATGCTAAAACATTACATATATAGGAATGGTAGTTTAGGTGTCAAGCCTACTCAGCCAACTACAGACATGATGTTGATTCAGCCATTAATTCGGCCGGCCACAGGCTATAAATATAGTTATGAAATATATTTATTAACACTCCTTTCTTTTTACAAATATTCTTAATTAAACCTGTTTAATCAAATGTCTGATGCATTAAAACTATGGTTTACTTCACTTTTTGCTGTTTGTTGTAGATGCCTTTCATGTGTCTACAACAGTGACAGATATGGATCATTAAACTAAGATTTGGTCCTTTTTCCAGAATACAATTTTTATATTTTTTTACAGAATTTCTTCTGCAATTCCTGTGATTCGTCTGGTGCTGTCTCGCCTGTCCTCAGGTCGTCATCTTCTTTTTAAGTCATGCGTCACCGGCCCAGATCTAATTAGAGTTTAATATGCGACATGCAGACTGGCCTTATTAAGCCTTAATGAAGGGGCATAGTTCGGTCCACCATCACAGCAACGAGCATTTTAATAGCTTCTCCAGCTCGCTCGCACAAAAACGCGCTGTCTGTATTTCTCTCACGGGCTTCCTGCACATCTACAGTCGAACGGGCACATTTACGTTCACATCACCACTGACACGTGTCACAGCAGCTGAGTCAAACTCACCAGATTAATGCTGTGGGTTGTACTGAAATGTGTCTGTCTTGTTTACTTAAGCTTCAATCAGATACATGGTGATTTAACTATGTGCATTACGATGATATTGTACCAGATAAAAAGCCCTAATGCCATCTGATGTTCACAAACTAACTCACGGGTGCTATAAAGGAACTCGTGTATCAGAAAACTGGACATAAACAGGAGATAAAACATGTGCACGCAGATACACGCAGACAAACAGACGTCAAAGTAAACACTTCAGTCTTTCGGCGGCCCACCTTTGCGGGCGGTCTTGATGCTGACGGGCTGGAAACCTCCATTGAGGGCGGAGGAATCGATGATGTCAGAGTCAAAGTCGCGGTGGTTCTTCCTGTAGATGAAGAGCGCCACGACGACGGAGATAACCAGGCACATGATCACGGCTATGACAATACCCACGTACAGAGCCACGTCGTCTGTACTCGGGGCCACTGCAGGAGGAGTGGGAGAGACAAAAGAGAAAAAGGCCAAAATTGTCTTTTAAGATCTCACGAGTTCACGTCAACAGCGCTCTTTCTCAGTACGCGCTGGTGGTGAAGCCATTATCAGCAGACTAATATCCTGGTGTAAGATTGAGCAGGATATTAATAAACCATCCACAGGGAAATAAATGCATACCGTTTGTTTTTTTTTGGTGGTCAATGCCGGTCCGCAGTGGCAAATTAACTGCGTGTTGAATAAATAATAATGGACACTCCCAATGGTCAAAGGTGCAAAGAGTAATGATGCATGTACTGTAGTGAGCCACACACAACCCTGCCCTGTTTATCCAATCCTGGCGGATGCTATGTTCCAAAAAGGCAGAAAAATAGCTCTTGCTTACTACATAAGACATCTGATGAACAAATGCGTCGTGATGCGTTGTGCGTTAGAGGGGCCTGTGCGCCGTACATCATACAACTAGAAACAAGAAAATGAAATACATATAATGATGATGAATGCAACTAATAAGGAAGGCTGCTCCAGTGCAACCCCATGACACACTGTCCTAACAAGCCGACTCAGAAGCGAGATCAAAAAAAAAAAAATCTGACGACAGAGATATAGATGTTTTCATCTTCAAATTACCGTGCGATGTGTGTGTGTGTGTGTGTGTGTGTGTGTGTGTGTGTGTGCGCGAGTTCACAGTCTGCCTTCGTCTTTTTTTTCTTTCACACTGGAGATAAGATCTAGACATAGCTTGCATTTCTCAAAATTGTCTTTCATCTCTGTCTCCCTCCCAGAGTCTCTCTGTCCACTTTCCAGCTGGAGTAACCTCTGTGATTAGCAGGCCTGGCGTGGACGTGTTGGCGCTTGGAAACACGGACTCGGACAGCCACTCATTACCGAGGAGACCTTTTAATGGATGCCTACTCACAGTCTGAACTTTCTGTAGTATCTGGTAAAGAATGCTCCTCATCTCCACTAAAGGGGAGAAACTTCTCTTAGCGGAATCCCAGAAGGCCTTTGTGTGAGCCTGTATGTGTGCGTTGTTCAAACACTGACTACGCATTGATGATGCACAAAAAAAATGCAAAGTATAAAGACAAATATTCCTGAGAGGATGAAGTTATTCCAACAGGGAGAAATGTCAGCCTTTTTCAGATCATTTGAGTAGGCAAATACAAGACAATCTGCACCAGCAGATGGCAGCATCAACCATAGGTGCACACACAGCACTATCAGGACATGCATGACGCTGAGCATTTGTGTAAATTAGCCGCATGTGTCCCGGGGACACAGATGGCACTCGATCTGCGTCTCTGGTGTTCTCTTGCGCAAAGCAGCAGAAGAAGGAAAAACGCAAGAGAATGGGGGGAGTTTTTTTTTTTTTTTGACAATCGAAAGCCATGAGTTGTGTTTTTCAGCACATTGTTAATCTCCAAGAGTAAGTGCAGCTTCATTTTCTATAGTTAGGACTTAATGTTTATTTAGCTGGATGAATAGGTTTTAAATCCAACCAAGTTCATCGTTCAAAACTTTGGTCAGTTTAAAATCCACTACATTCAGTGCTCCTGGAGAATCTCTATCCAATTAGAATTGGGTTTGACCTTCAGTGGGGCATTCATTTTTGCTCTCTGTATCAACATAGAGATTGAGAGAAAAAAAAAGTTTTTTTGATGTACTGAATGACCACAATTGAAGAGGTGCGAGAAAACTTTATTTCCAGCCTACGTTTCCGTGCGTGGCCTTGCTCTCTTTATGTAACCCTAACCGAGCCATCACATTAAAGAAGAGTTTCAAGGTACATCCTCATATATGTTAGGCCTGTAATCCTTCTTCTGGCACAGACACGGAGGGAACACTAAGCAGGGAGCCAATTGATGAAAGTCTGAAAATGTAATTTCACTGTGCCTCTTCTGCCAAGCATCCCTCCAGTAATTTAACATACATCCCTCTCAGTTGAACAATCTCCCATCCACGCTTTGATGATAAAGCCTGCAACCTGCTCAGTGTACGCATTAAAATGTATCACTTAGATTAATACATCCCTTTGAACATGAGCCATTCTCGGAGAGAGGGGAAAAGTACAAGAAATGGAAATGAAAGGGATTATTGAACACTTCATTCTCTAGGAGGAGGCAGAGATTTGGGTGAAATACAGAGAGCAGAATATTGGAGATATGCAGAAAGGCGCAGTGGGTTAAATCCCGACGAGGCGGAGTGGGGGGATGAAGTTCGTGAGGGTAAAGGGCATTCTCAGCTCTGAGGTGGACAACAGATGTCCAACAGAGACACATAATGACGCATGGCAGCGGAAATCAAAAAAGTAAAAAAAAAAGTGGTTATCTGCAAGTGAAAGAAACAAAGATGGAAATAAAAGGACAATGGCCCACACATTGGGTGTATTGTTTTGTTTTGCGGCAATGGAAGAATTAAAAACATCCTTGTTGAAATATAATAAATGTTTTTCTAATCTAGGAAGATGACTGACAGTAAACCTCCCTTAAAACCTTTAAACGAAGATTAAAGACGGACATGAGAATGAATGTAGAAATTAAACTTCAAACATAAATGATAAAAAAATAAATAATAACTCACATGTATTTCCAAAATCACTCTTGTCTTTTGCCTCAGAGGACTTCTGATACAAGGAACCTTGAGGAGAGGTGGATTGTGGGTAGGACAAGGAGTAGGGAGGAGGAGGGGTGGGGGGGGGGCGGAGATGGCAGGAGAGGGATGATGAAAATCAAATTCAACAGAAAAACAAACTCAACAAATGAGACAGCAACAAACTCATGAGTAGGAGTGATGACGCGAGGAAGCGATCTTTCTTGATTTGGGCTCTCCTCTCCCGATCTGTGTGCAGAGTATAGAGATGGATGACAAGGAACTGGGGGGAACATGGAGGTTCTGAGAGGGAGCGGTGCGATCCATCAACTGGGCTTAGTGCCTTAGCAGCAGCAGGACTGATGCTGGCAGGTGGCAGAGGGGAACGGAGGGCCTGATAAAGTGTGGACTCCAACAACGCAGTCAATACAAACCAACCGCCTTGCTCGTGTCCCTGGTCGAAGGATGTGGAGGTTAGTGGGAGAAATAAAAACATCGGTTGCGTCAGGAAGGCAGGAAATAGAAAAGAGGTTGAAAGGAGAAGGTGAAAATCTTCCACGTGGTTTTGGGGGCCGCGATCAAGCTTTTGGTTGGATCTGGATTTTTTGGGGGGGAGGGTAACGTGAAGGAGAAGCAGCCCCAGAATGGCAGCCGGGGACACAATATTCGGTCTCCCTGGGATATCCATAAACAACTATACAAACAATGAATTCCTTATTGGAGAGGGGGAGAGCTACGGGGAGACAAGTGGACCGACAGGAAAATCAATGGCTTGATAGATGGAGCTGGTGTGTTCATGTAATCAGGCAGGGGAAGGCTGGGACGGGGAGCGGGTTGGGGAGGGGGGATATATATATGAATGTCAGGGTCAGTCTAACTGATGGCCCATTTGAACCCATCCTGTAGAGTTTCTATTCATCCGTCAGTCTGCAGTACGGCGAGAGTAAAAGCCTGCATCAGTGGGTGGCCTCCCAACGAAACCTCAGAGCCCCAGAGAGACAAAGATTATTCCTCACTGACAACATGGAGCTGGGGAGGAAGAGGGGACGCGTAGGACAGGAAATCACTGTCTGGGTTTCAGCCATCACTTCCTCAGGGAAGCACACCGTCATGTGGAAAAACTGATTTTCCATCAAATCCGAACTTTTCAACCACTTTAGTGTGAATAATCTTTATGTTCTTGGATGAAGAGACCCTTAAAGGGATGATTTCCCTGCCTCGGTTGTCTGATAGCAATAAAGCATCAGCCCTGGTTGGAATTTTGCGCTCCGCTTTCTCTACATCAATATGTCAGGAAAATGTCAGGTCCGAGAGGAGGGTTCCCAAAGGTTTAGATTCAGGGGAGGGGGGGGGGGGCGCAAAACAAGATGAACGGTGAAAACTCTTGTGTTAAGAGTTGGGAAGTTTCATCCGAACAGGCAGAGTGCAACCTCTTTAGATCAATCTGCAGATACATAACTTCGTTATCCCCAAACCCCAAACTCCCTGACCGACTAAATGTGTTAAACAAGGTGCAAAGTCATTTATAATACAACTATCTCCTTTTTGATTCGGGTCAGTTGTGTTTTTGTGCAGCAATGGAGACTGAGTACCTCGAGCTCTATTTCCAATTTAAATAAATTCAAACAACAGAAAATAGGATCAACCTGCAACGGAATCCAGGGACACGTGTTTGCTCAGATCCGAGCTCGGCGCTTGGAGGGAGCCGCTCAGCAGTCGGGAGGTGAGTTCAGATTGCACACAACCTCCATTCCCAATCGTATTTGCCATAATGTGAGCTTTTAGATAATGGGGCCGTTCTTCTAAATGCTAGTGGAAATGGTCATTAGCATTGGCATAAGTGGCTTCACCCTCTTAGCTTCTGGAAAAAGAAAGAAAAAAAAAATCAATCGCCTGAAACGATCCTAAATCTATATCATTATGGCTTTATATTCTCCGCGAGCCGGCCATCAATCTACCAAGAACTTATGCTTCTGTCACAGGCTGAGTTGCAGGAATAACACGAGACAAAGAGCAGTGAAAAGGAGTTTTTTTATAGATTGCTCCCTGATGTTTCTATACACTGTAGACCTTCAGACCCCGGCTATAAAATCAGCTAATGCATTTCCTCTACTGCTCACGTAAAATGACATCTTTTAGTGCAGAACTCCCAGTCTCCTGCTGGCCCTCCACACATACGGACACACAGTACAGTCTGTGTTTCCTTTTGACGGACGCATAAATATCCAGCATTCGTCTGTGTCTAAAGATGCATATCGGTCGGCGATGTGATGTCGGGCGTATAACCCGTAGCACATCGCGTCGACGCCACACCGCAGGTAGCCGCTAACAACCCTTTAGTGCAGCGCAATCTCACGTCAGCTGCACACAGTGACGGGCCAGCTGCATCAAATCCTAGAAATCCAGCAGCACCGCCTTTGTTATATTATTAGTGTCACATTCGCCATCTGTAGTAGGTTGTGTGCATAATGGAGGCATCTGTGACAGTGTGCGGGGGTCTAACACCTTCAAAGATGTTTACTGGAGAGAATCTTCTTATTAAACGAGACAGAGAATCCTCCGTAAACCGAGTTACTTTGAAGTCACCCAGATCCCTCCGTCTCAGCCACTTCCTCTTATTATTATTCTTATTGTAGGCACAGAACAGAAGGCGAAGACTGTTAGGAGATAAAGTTTATATCTTGTTTATATAATACGTTCTTATTACTGCAGGAAACACGCTTACCCTCACGTGCATCAGAGCAGTGGCAGCGTGACACCAACGGGTGAATGTATTATAGGGGAGACTAAACTGAAGACTGACTAAACTGCGTGCCTGTTTTCAACTTGATGGGCTGCAGAAAAATGTCTTAATGTACCAGAAACCGGCTTAGGCCTTTTTTTTTGTTTGTAAAAAAAAATCCATGTTAGAGTAGATTAGACATTTCCAAGAGGAAAAGGGTTTCCTCTCACTGGACCTAAGGAATCCAGGGATTTTAAATTAAAGTAGTAATCAAAGCAGTCGTGTGGATGTGACCCCCCCCCCCTTTGCATAATAACAATATAATCACTTATTATTATTTCAAATACAGCTCTAAAATACTTAGCCTGTGACAAGGATAATTACTTAGAGCACTTCCCAATGTGGCCTGGTCTTTTTTTTTTTAACATATACTTAAATCCGCAGCGGAGCTGTCACTAGAAAAGACGTCCCGTGGTTCCTTCTTCTTTTTATGTCACTTTCATCCAAACAGCTTTTGTGTTCTCTGAATGTGCAAATAAAAGGGATGGAGTGCAGCGGAAGCGGAGAAAGGCACTCCGGCGTGTCTTTTTGTTTATGTATGAGCGAAGCCACGCGCGGTGAGTGAGAGACAGGCCGAGAGCGTTAATGCCGGCATGTGGAACAACGGCGCGTCGATGACAGAGCAGAGTGAAAGTCATGGTCAAAGGATGAAGAGATTTCTTTGGCTGGCAGGTCAGAGAGAGTAGCAGAGGATCAGTCGGGTACTCACTCTGCATGCACATCCCATCGGTGCAGTTCTTGGACTGGAGCACCGTGCCCTCACAGTCCTTCCCCCCGTTTTTGGGTGCCGGGACGCCGCATTCTCTCCTCCTCCAGTGGGTGCACTCTGTCCCACAGGTGGACCACTTAGTCCACTCTGTCCACACGCCATCCACTACCACACAACAGACAGGACAGACAAGGGGGTGAACGAAGTGGCGGATGGGAAGATGGAGACAAACGGGTGCACGGGTGGGTGAGCGTGTTTTCGCGGTAGAACAACAGCCAAGGCACGTGGGAGAGGGACACGCACGCTTAAGGGGGGGGGGGGGCGGAGGCACAAAACAGAGCCAAATATGCAAAACGCAGAGTCGTATCATATTTGATGCAGTCTGTTTTTGTGCGCCCGGTACCCTTCCCTCCCACTGCCGCGTGGGTTTGTTGTGTTTGTTTTCGAGCCGTACCTGGGCAGAGAGGATTGCACGTCAGCTTCTGAATGCCTTGCCCTTCACAGATGGCGCCACCGTTGAGCGGGGCCGGGTTGGTGCAGCTGCGCGTGCGTTTCTGGTACCCGCGGCCGCAGCGGCTGTTACACACCGACCACTCCGTCCAAGTGGACCAACCACCGTTCACTGGGATACGTGGGAACGGGACAGAGTTACAACATTACTCCCACTGGTGCATTTTCAAAAACAAGTTGAAAGGTGCTTTATACTAATACATGAAGCCGACGTGTCAAAACATCAGTTGCATAATGTATCATTGCCCACTGTAAAATGTATATAACAGAGTTTTTGACCCTTGGCATCTCTTGGCTGTTGAATTGTGGTCACATCGCTGCGTTTTTCCACACACTGATTCCTTCTAATGCCTCTCTTCTCTCTCTCATCCATCTCTGTCAGCGACTAAATCCAGTGCAGAGTGACACCAGGGCTTGTGGCTGAGAACAAGTCCGTGGCATTTGAGATGGTGGGAGTCGGCCCCTTGGAGCCGCTGACTTTCAAATGTGACATGCTTATGAGTGAAGCCCCAAATATTGGACTCTAGAGGAAGACTGCCAAAGCCCCACATTTCTTTATTGTCTGCTCCCTTTCCTCCCCGGATTAGGGATCTATCTTTCTCTCACGCTTTCCTTTCCTCCTTTTGCCTGCGCTCCTGTTCCCAGCAAACAACTTGGCTAAAAGCAAACTGCATGTTCTTCCCACTTTTCCATCGTATTAGACACGATTCTCTTTCGCTTTTGGTTTCTAAAAAAATGCTTTAAGAGTGCTTTCACATACAAGCGGGTATCCGTCCGTAAAGGTGCAAGTGCCCACTTTGTATTAAAAGCAAGGTCAGCGCTAACTGACGCAGTGGTTTGTTGTACTTTCTGTCAAGGATGAGCAGACATCAAAGCAGTTATTCAACGGCAGCGACAGGAAAGCCTTGCACAGACTGCAGCTCTTGTCCCTGAAATCGCCACTTGGATTTACAATTTGTCTTTCTTTAACCCTCAAATTGCCCCCCCCCTCCCTCCACCAGCCACATTGTTCGTAATGTTCATGACACGGTGAAAAGCGCAGAGGGAATTATAGATTTTAAACTTGACCCGGGCGAAAGTATCGCTTTTCCGAGCATCTGTTGTGCGTTTGTCTTTGTGTTCGCATCCGTCCACGTGGATGCGACGATGCCTCTCATGTCGCGTGTGGAAATTGCACGGCCTGGAGCGGGGCTCGTTGTTCCACTTCCCGGCCCGTGCTGTGCAATAACAGCCACGTTAGCTGATGTTGGGGGAAACAGTGGGTGAGTCTGCGTGAAACCACAGCGGGGGCCTCTTTAAGTACGGCTCAGCCGCATCAGCACCTCGCTTACGGTTCAGAAAAATAACTTATCTTCAATTCCTTGCACACCTTCCGGCGTGAACAAAATGAGCGAGCGCTGCGCGCCCCGGGGGATTTTCCCTCATGCAGAGTGACTTTGAATCTGTGTTTTTTTTTTTTAGTTGGAATGACTTCTCATAAGGATTCAACCCTTTTCTCCTGCGTTCGTGCCTGAACGTATCATTCCCTCGTGTGGCCAATGAGGTGACAGTAGATGCCACGACTACCTTGTTCACTGTTGAGATGCTTGGTCGTTTACCGTAGACAATGACTGTGGCGGTGGTGCTGCGCCTTTTGGCCACGATGTTCTTAGCGACGCAGGTGTAGTTGGCGGTGTCAGAGAGGCGGGCCTGCTTGATGATCAGGTTGTGGTCGATGGTGATGTAGAAGTTTCTGTCATCTGCAGGATCGATGACTTCCTCGTTCTTCAACCACTCCACCTAAGAGGCGGGAGAGAGGAGGAGAACAGAAAAGTCTTTTCAAAGAACTTATGACGGGTTGACCTCGTTGTATTGTAGGAAAAGTCCGAGCAGCTTTTGTTTTCCTCGCGCCCGGCTAACCTCTCGGATAGCAGTGAGTGCCGCAGCACAATTGCTTGAGTCTCTGAGGTCCTGCTACAAAGTCAAACGCGATCGTGCTCTTTTTACTCGCCCCATAGAACAAAGCACTGCAGAAACAGCAGAATCGTCGGGCGGCAGAGAGAAAAGAAACGTGAATCTGAGAGTCTCCGTGACCTTTCCCCACGAGTTTCATTTCTCTAAATGATACGGATAGTGAACTCCTGGCACTATCACAGAACAGGAGACCATTTAGAGGCTTTATTCCGCAATAAATCACCCAAGATCCCTCCTCTCTTCAAGAGGTGTAAAGGTTTCAAAAAGAATAACATGTGCCGCCCAGCACTTTGATGCAACAATATTAGCTGTTTCTCCTTTTGTTTTGTTTTTTCATCAAAGGAGCTGTCCGGCGATCGGGGACACCCGGCCTTCCTGTGCATTGTGATATCCCAACAGGAGCAGGGCCTGATAAGAGATAAGACCCAAAGGAGCAGCACGGGCAGAGATAAGTGGGATGTTTATAAAAGCCTGTTCTCATGCGAGATAAGTAGTACCTGGAAAAAAGTGGCACAACAACCCGATAAAAGAGGCTGCCGAGACAAAACGACGTGCGGGCTCACTGTTGTGCGGTTCCTTAGACACACAGACACTTGGCTTGTAGTGGTGCAGGGATGTACGACGCGTTGGGCGATGTCGTAAGACCAGCATTGTTAGAACTTTCGGGCTGATTGTGAAATGCATCACCAACACACAGTTCGCACGTGATGACGGAATATCGAAGGCGCCATCGGCCGTCACACCTGGGCAGCGTGCCCTCTCGTCCGGTGGGAACACATCGGAGGCGCTGGAGGATGAACTATTTTTCAATACCGCACAGCCCTACTTCTACACTCACACATTGTGCTGCCCAAGAAACGCCTCCACCCATTGACTCACATCGGACCGAGTGCGGGCCGCTCGGTATCAGCAAACCTCGGTAAGTGTGATGGACATTCTCCGCTCATTTGGTGCTTACAAGTGTTTTCTGCCATAAACATAAATCCGCTGGCTGAATCTAATGGAGGAAGGCAGGATGATTCCCTCACAATCCATCTGCCAGCAGAGACGAATACATTGATACAAAGTGCTGCCTAACAGAACATGCGGATTACATTGGTCACTTAGTGGGAGATACATCTTATGCGTCGTCTTGTTTCCTCGACGTAACGGTGCAGGATTACGAGCGACGCTTACGACAGAGGGAAAGAAAAACGTCCTTATATTAGCACATGCTCATTTTGATTTAAATCAAAACTAGATGCTTAATGAAAGCAGCTTTATTGTCACACAAATCAATGCAGGAGAAAAGCGGCGGGACATAGGACGTAAGGCACAACATATTAAATCCATGGTAACCGATGTGCCGTTGTCATGCTGTTGGCAACGTCCATTTGCTTTAAACGATTCAATAAGACTGACGGTGCAAATGACTCCGAATGCGTTTTAGTTGTTATTCCATGAATTCATTGCAGAGCCTGCCCATATATTTAATAAATGTATACATTTAGGCGTTTCAGTATAGTGATATTAAGTTGGCTTCTGTTTTCATTTTGCTGCAACAAAAGTGTTTGACATCTGCTGTGGTGGCAGTTAGACATCTGCCTTGACTTTTGGGATTGAAGCACAATAATTCAATACTCACTCAACAAACCTCCCTGAGGTCTAAACCCTGAAACATCTTTTATAAAAGCAATCTCGTAGTAAGCATTACAAATAATATATTATATATATTAGCACTCCATCATTAACCGGAAGGCTACAGTGATTATAGTGAAGGCGTCAATGTATTCATTGAACAAAAGTTACGTAGATTTTTTGTATTTTTGTTACGATAGAATCACTCATTTTAATACTGAATGACATAACCAAAAATGACAAACATGGCCAAAGAGAAGACCCAAATATTTCAGAAGCATCAAATGTCCTCTTGGGTCCTTTGTTCACTATGTCATGTTGAAAAGTCAGATAGAACAAATAAAGATGATGCAAGGAAGAGAAACAACGGGTAGTGTTGACATCGTACATATTTAGCAATGTAAAGCTCACATCGACGTTCGCCGCGCACATTCGTAAGTAAAGGGTCCATTATTCAAATCGAGATGGACGGCCCGTACAAAAGAGAAGGTTATTCAATTTTGCAGCAATCACTGAGGCAGCCTCTCCAAACGTGCTGTGCTGAGATGTCAGGAGCATTTTTATGTGAGAAGGTAATTAAAAATTTAACAAAAGCTCTTTTCAGCCCAGATGGAGGGTGGGAGGGAGAGCAAGTGACGAAGGATAGAAAGTGGAGGAACCTCATGTGGGAACGTGTGCGCGGGAGAGCAAAAGTGAGCAACAGTTCACCCATCATCTATTCTCTACCGGCTATAATTAGGACTCATTAATAAAACCGGAGATGAAAGGTAAGCCAATGCACACCGCACTCGTGAAACGATTTCAAATGATTCAAATTCCGCGGAAGACTACATCTCATATAGCACTTGTCCAACTTTCTCGCATGCCAACACACACACACACACACACACACACACACACACACACACACATATACACACACAAACACGCTTGCAGCTCGTTAGCATCTGATTGGCAATGAAACATCCGGAGAGGTAATTGGCACATTTCTTGTCATTAACGAAGGGAAATTGCCACATGTCAGTTGTCTTCCTGTCTAGTTGGAGACAGCCAAGTAACAGAGACAGAGAGAGAGAGAGAGACATCAAGAAGGACACCTGGACCTCAGGAAGGAGTGAAGGAGACGAACAGAAAGTAAGACAGGTAGGCACAAGGCAGAGAGGAGGAGATGGATGAGCAGGAGGACGGTCCCTAGTGTGCCAGAATACACGGCACATCATCACCGAGAGGCAGTGAGGAAAAGACAGAATGAAGACAGGGAATAGAGGGAAAAGGTCACAAAGAGGTGACTGAGTGAGTAATGAAAGGGAAAGACCAGCGAGGTAAACACAAAATGAGAGGGATGACTCAGAGGGGACATCTTTTTCATTTACTGAGCTCTGGAAAACCAGAATGCACCTGATGGTATTAAGTAAAATGATAAAGAGAAGTCTCTTAAAGAAAGGGTTGCAATGTTTTTGGAATATTCAAGGTGTAAATCTTCCGTTGGAATGAATTGGAATGTATGGGGAAATCTTCCACTTGCAAGGTGGGGTTCAAAGTAATAGATTACATGTAAACAAAAAATCTAGCATGGTAACAGCCACCCAGCAAAAACAATTGAAGTATTATTAGTGATTTTCCTTAAGGCCACTTTCTTCAATATCAAAAAATGATAAATATTATGAAAAATGACCAGAAAATGTAATTAAATTGGCATACCTTTACCCAAAACAGGCAATAAGACTCGGATTGCGTGCATTTCTCTCTCCACAATATTCACAATTAAAAAAAGTTATGATTTTGTGCAATAACTCCAAATTCACTTTACTTCCTACAATCGTGGTGCACATCCTGAATACATCAACCAGGACGCAGGTTCAGTGTCCTTCTCCCACTAGCCCACACAACTGGCTCCAGACCAGACTGTAATCATGGAGTGGGACGGTTCTGCGCTCCGTGCCAGCAAAACACCAATTAAACCCATATACAAAACACGGCGTATACGATCCACTCACTTGTTAAGAGCCGGTACACAATCGACTCAGTCAACGCCCTTCACTACTCGTATCTGTTGTGTCAGAAATAGAAAGTATACAGCAGAGTGTGGGGGTGGAGAGGGGTGTGAAAGAAGGAAAGAAGGGGAGAGGGAAAAAAAAGTTCCACAGAAATGTGTGAGCCTCCGCTACAGAGGAGTCATTACGAGCTCTCCTGCTCCTCCACAGGAAGTCTAACTATCCATCTGAGGTAATTTATGCATTTTCCACAGCATATACCCGCCGCAGGCTCGAATGACACACCTGGAGAGTGAGCCCCCAAAAGGTTACAAACGGATTATTCAATCTCTTACTATGAGACACAGGCATGTGCTCTGCATCCGCCTGCATGGCAAGAATGGAAATGCGAGCTGTGTAAATATTAAGAAGCTGCAACGCACCGAGCCGTGATGTATTGAGGAGTGATGGGCAGAATGTGTGTGCGTGCGGCTGCATTACTGGAATCTGTATCTATATCTGGAGGAGCTGGAATGGAAGGGGGTTAGGTGAAGAAGAGAGGGTGAGGGTAGGTAACACAGGTGGAGTAGGAGTGTTTCAAGTGATCATAGAGGAGACCGATAACTGAGGCTTGAGCTGCAGGAGTAATGGCCTCCTGCAGCTCGGTCCCGCCTCGAGCTCTCCGCAGTCCGCTGAAGGAGAACAGACGTTTTTTTTTAAAAAACGCTCCAAGGACAACAAAACGCTTCATCGCTGCAACACAAGTCGTCAGCCCGTCTTCTTCTCCCGCACAGTTTCCTAGGCCACTTAAAATGTGATTCCTAGAAGCCCTCGCTGGCTTGGTGCGGGCCACGTGATTTCGCCGGTCTATTTCTGTCCGTTTAAAAGGCAGGCATAAAATATTCTAATACTTAAAAGAAAGGCACATGATTCCTCTTTGATACACCAAATACTTGATTATATGTTGATGGTGACTGACTATAGGATATCTGCCATAGTACTGCACATTTTGCTCCATTCAAGTGTGGGCTGACTACAGTTGGATGCAGAGAAACATGACACAAGCATTTCATGTAAAATATTCCATCAATTAGTCTGTAGCGTTACAGCGGCTTTGCAAGGCGGAGAACTGTGCGATATCAGCCCTTGGTTTCACCAGGTTTCCTCCGGCTTTCAGAAAAGCTCAGATGATAACTCCACCAAGGGAGAGAGCATTTGTGCTCTGAGAGGTCAGAACTCTCTTTGTATGCAATACAACCTTCAGAAGAAAAGGGAAAATAAATGCAGGAACCGATTCAGAAATTCCGTTTTAACAGTTTGAAAATCATTTAAAGAGAAAGGAACGGTTCATCTCAGAAAGAAAACTCCCTCATTAAAGTCTCAATGCCATTTAAAAAGAAAATACCACAAGGCATCCATCAAATTCACCTTCCATGTTATGTAGAAAAAAGTGAATTCTAGCATTTTATGCCCTTTTTGGAACTGTGAACAAAGCAGCTGGGATTACCTGCAGGGCTTGAGAGAAAGCTGCGGTGAACCCGTGATTCAAAATATCATTTTGACAAACACTGCCCGTGCGTGTAGTAGTTTCTTGGAATTTATTTTTAGTATTTGTTTGTCTTTGCATCAGTCCACAGCCCCAATCAGTGCTTCTTGTCTTTGTCCTGTAATGCATAATCGTTTTTTTTTCTCTTTCCCTTAGGTGGTCCGATGGAATATATGCACAGAAAACCCCCCCGGGGTCCAAAGTTGCGTGTATACAAATGTTTCCGAAGGAAGGAACCATTGGAGGTAACAGTAGAAAGGGCAGGGAAGACGAGGTCACACATGTTGGGCTATTAGAGTAAATCACAGCCTTTGCACAGGGAAACTGCAGTGATTGACAGGTGGGCGCCTAAAGGGCAATTGGTCGGTTGCCTGCGGGGAGTGGGGGGCGGGGGGAGGGTTGTCCTGCCTTCCTGACACTTTCTTTCCCATGGGTAACCTAAATGAAACCACACTTCCTGTTCCACCGGGAACTGAAGTTACTCCTGACACCCCCCCCCCCCCCTCATAACTACACTATACAGCCTCTTTACTTGGATGAAGCGTTCAGCTACTTTCTGACAAGGTGACCTGACGTCTGCGCTACGGCTTCACATTGTCTATTAGGTGGAACTGGACTTAAACTCCACAGTAATCGCAGCCTTTTACACGGTTTGATGTGCGCAAAGGGTGAATGCTGGATTTCCACCAGGAGCCAAATTCAAGACATCTCGAGCCAGATTAGATTCAATGACATAACAGCCAATGCTGTGATTCATTACTGCAACATTTCAGTCAATAACAAAGGGTGAGAAAACTGAATTTGAGCTCAATAAAAAATAAATCTACTGTCTCAATAGATTCCCAGTAATACACAAGAACCCCTTGAATCTGGCACCGGCTGTCTAAATTCATCAGATCTAGTTTTCTCACTTCTCCGGATGAGTGACTGTGAAGTAAAGAGCGTATATACGTTTCCTGGCTTTCTTCTCAGTAAAGCCGGTGGACTTAATCATAGCAGCAGGGCCTCTTCCCCTGCAGAGCATCAATGACTCGTTACCCATGATAACACGGCAGGACCCCGGCTGACTGAGGAGACGCCTGAATTAAAAAGCCGCTTCCATGGAAACAGGCTCAGCAGCTCGCGGAGCCGCATCACCTCTGAACTCCCGTCTTTCTCTCGGGGGGGCTGTGACAAGTGCTCTGAGGTGGCGATGGAGACGGAGGGCACGGGAGAAGAAAAAGAGAAGGAACAATAAGGCTGCATTCTTTCACAAGGAGATTTGACTGAATTTTATGAGCCTGCCACATGTTCTGGGGTATGAAAAGAGGCTATTGTTACTTCTGTAGAGGCCCTTAAGAGGTTGATGAAAGAGCTTCATGGAGGTATTAAAAGGGAGTGATCAGTGTTGAGCTCAGGGAAAGTTTTCCATCCCCATCTTTACCTTTACTCTATCTACGGCCAGCACTCAGCATGTGAGCCCACGTAACACAGAGACCGAGCCGCTGCTGCCAAAAGCACTCCCTCTCCCTGCCGCCCAATAATAGTTACATTTTCCTTCTGTTTTTGATTAAGTATATATCAAATATTCATGGCGATGGAAATGTGTAACAATGACGGGGGAGGGGGGGGGCTGGTGAGTGTCTAATGTATTCAGACCATACGAGACGTTCAGATGACTGAGTCCTTGTGCTATTTCAGAAACCTCACTCGCAGTATTTCAGTCCCGTGAGGCCAAAGTTCCATTGGGTAATGGTCGCATGGAGAGCCAAGATAAATGCCGGGTGCTTGTTTTCTTTGTGTGTGTGTGTGTGTGTGTGTGTGTATGCAATTGCTGAGCTCCGGGACAATCTGTACACGGAAAAAACAATGAATGAGGTTTGAATAAAAGTGGGGGCAGGATCCCTCGAACTCATCCACGGATCTGATGTGCGATGGGGATTGTTTGATATGGTCTGTTATGTAAAGTTGCTTCATCATCACAGGAGCAAGGGATGTTTGCTCAGCGTAATGTTTAATTGTCGGGGCCTCAGCCAGTGAAGGAAGCCAACGAAAATTCAAAACCACTTAAATAGAATAACAGAACGTCATTACTGTGGTGAACCATCGTAAAACAACAGTAATATAAATCATTTGGAACGCGGTGAGTCAAAAAGTGAACACAACTGACACTGGATGACATCAAATAGCGCAGCTCCCATTTTGTAATCTGAGATCCAAACCGATTGTGAACGGCTTACTTTGATTTTGGAGAATGTGGGCGTTGTAGCTCTGGGGGGGTAACTCTACAACAATGAGGCCTCAAAGCTAATCTCTCCATCAAAACTGAAGTAAAGGTTACACTGGAGTACAATTTAACTACCATAATGTTAGTTAGGAGAAGAAAAACTCAATGTGCGTAACATGTGTTTGAACCAAAATGACACATTTTCCTAACAAAGCTCTTTTATTCTAGTTTGAAAGGAGGAAGCAACCCATCAGCAACAAATCTCTTTCTGCCGGCAGCTCAGCCCCAATAACCCTGTTCACTCCATAAAGTAGATGAATAGACTTTCAGTGCGCATGTAGAGCTGTTGGCAACATGCTACAGTGTTAACGTCCTCGGCGGTGCCTCCCGACATGCGATCGTCCGCGTGGGAGAAGCCGCGCAGTCGGCACAGTGTGTGTGTGCCACGCAGCACGAGGTCCGTCACATGCCGTCCGCACGACGCAACAAAAAAGGGCTGCAAGAGGACGGGCTTGAAGCGCCTGCCCATTCCGCCAACGTCTCCTCCGCGAGGCAGAGTCCTCCAAAAGGAAGCCCAGAGCGAGCTGACAGCCCGCTGGAGGCCTGACAACAAGGCACCGGATCCAAGCGCCTCTCCTCCGTGCCTTCAGCCTCTCTCTCTCATGCCTTCTAGATTAATGTTTTGGTCTGAGAGTGGGTGAAATACGACAGATCCTTCCTTCACAACGGCTGCTAACCATTTTCTGCAGATTCTTATACAACCACAGACTTGAGCCCATCTGCTTTTTCGGCGACGGGCTCGTGTGAGAAAAAGGCTGAAAAACACAGATGAAAAAGCAGTTGGTTTTGTCCCTTTTCCCGCTGAGACAGCTGTGTTTGTTGGAAAAACCACTTGAGGAACAAACTGTTTTTCGTCGTGGTGAGGTAAGTTGGAGTAATTAAAGGAGCTGAAAAGGGGCCCCTGTACAGGTGCAAAATCCAACTCGATCATAGAAGGAAAAGTAAACAGAGGAAACAATCTTTGCTCTCCTGTAAGAATACAGAACATGATTGATGCGGGGAGAATTTTAAACACTCAGAATATGCTTATTTATTCTTTAGAAGAGGTGAACTGCCTTAAACCAATGCCTACTTCAAGGTAAAACCATGGCGAATTTACAGACAGATTATTTTTCCTCCGGTGTGGCAAATAGATGGCTAGTTTGATGATAGGTAACCGCATTAAAACCCCCACTAATTCACTCATTCTCACACACTGTAAATGTCGTTAAGCCTCTTATTTACCGTCCACTGAAAATCCAGGTTGCCACAGCAACTCCATATCTCAGAAAGCATAGATGGGTCACGATGGGAACCCAGCTGAGTCTTTAATCGCTGCGCCGAGCCAATCCAGGATTGACAGAGAGACCTCAGACAGGCAGCGAAATCACCAGCGCTATATGGCTGTAACAGCAACACCATCAAACTGAAGCCCGGGTTGTGTAAGAAGAGTCTGCCGAGTGCCAGTCAAACACTTTTGTCCATTTAGTCCGTCAGCACTTCCAGCGGGGATAAATGCCGCGCAGTTCCACTCACTTACCTCGGCTTTTCCTGGTCAATCACAAGCTTTCACAGAGTTCAGGCCCAACTCAAAAAAATAAAAATAAAACCTAACGCCCCCCCACTAACCCCCCGGCCCGCTCACACACCCCACACCCATGAAACCACTCTTTCATCCTCTATTTGTGTCCCTTGACTCTTAACTGAGCCTTTTTAAATGCAGCGGTAGTGAGGAAGTGCAGCAGGCTGAACTAAGGTAACGCAGGGACACGACTGCTTTTATTCTTCTTCTTCCCCACGGCGAATAATCACAATGTTTTTATCCTCTGGCCAAATCAAACAGCAGTGGTGGAAAAAAGGTCCTTTATTCAGTGTCAATTTGAACAACTTCTGAAATGTGAGTTAAAAACTGAGCAAAACAGTTAATATGTTTGATGAATGACGAGAACCGTTGACTGGTACAATCAAAACTCATACCACAAAATCATAGTTTTGTATGCTGAATGACGGGTGAGGGACATCTGAACTACCCATTATGTACAAAAAAATATCATCACACACCAGAAAGGATGGCAACATTTCAGTTGAAACTCAAAACTGTCAGTAAAGCTCTTCACATAAACCTCTTTTCAGAGCAGCCAGTTTATTGGATTTGAGTTGAGAACTTTTGGATGAGCTTAGTCTGGATAATCACAACTGCCTGCATTTCTATGGCCAACATGTACAAAGTTAAGTGCATATTAGAACGCATCGTCTCAAAATAGAAATATAACTATCATTTCAATTCAAATCTGATGGTCTTTTAAACCTTACCTCGGCGGAGGGGATGCCTTCAGGGGGGCGACATTGGAGCAACACCTCCTGTTCGAGTGTCACTTCCTTCCCTAGAGGCTCCTGGTCAAATGTCTTCCTCAGATCTATAACGGACAGAAGCACATTGTGTATCAATATTTACTTATATCTCATTATCTGAGGGCCAATTTAAAGCTATGTTAAATAATTAATACGGAGTCAATCAATGATCTAAAAATGGTACCAATAAATCACTAAAAGAGGAGGTCAGGGTAAGTCATCTTTAATAATTGCCTCAGTGAAAAAGCAATACACAACAATACAAAAAAAACCACAGCAATGTGTGTTTGAAACCATTTAGTAAGAATTATGCCTTCTCTCTATCTTCCTCTCTTCTTCAGCCGGAGGATCCACCTCCCTGAAGTAGATGAAGAGAAGTTAGATAGAAGGGGCTCGCTGGCCACACAATGAAAAGCTAATATATGTGTGGTGTGGGAGCCCTGATGGAGTGGTGCGGGGCAGGGATAGTGGAGCTGACAGGGCAGGATTACTGGCAGTGTCATGCTACACTGGAAACCAAAGCCCATTAGACGTATATCATGACCTGCTGCACAGACTGAGACAGGACCAGCGCGCATCATTCACAGCAAACAGAGGGGGGTGCGGAAGATTTAATGTGGAGTCACAGCATCATTTGGGAACTCTTGGAGTTACTGAAGCATCAAATCTACAATCAAAACCTCATAACTCCACCGATACCATTTCCACAGCCGGTGCAAAAGGTTGAGGAAAGGTTTGGGTTTAAGAATTCAAAATCAAACTTAGATCTAGGGTCGAATTGATTTCATGCCGGGAAAACATTTCTTCAGGTCTTGGTCATCTGACACTTAACTGTGTCCATGGAAACAAACCAAGAAATTACCCCAGTTAAGCAACTCAATCTGTGGAAATCATTCTGCATGGATCGCTATTATTACAGTAATGGACTGCTGTTGACACTGTGTGTAGATTCTATTTTTTCACTATTTGTTATTTGTGATCTAGAACAGCGTGTAAAAGACTTGACGGGGTGGAGTAGTTTAATATGTTGTTACTTTTTTGGTGTATTTCATTTCAGGTATTGTGTTACGGCAGTCGGTGCTTTTCCGGTTGTGCTTTTATCTTGAAGGTAGGAAAACCGGAAGTGGGCAGTTAGAAGTGGGAAAAAACGAAACAACGACAAAAGACGTTAAACAAACGGAAAAGGGAAAAATATATTAAAACACAGAAAGGGTTGCGGTTTTATTAGTTTAGCACCCGGTTGACATGGGCACAAGGTTAGTAGCGGTTCAAGTTTGTAATAACCGAAAAATAATAATAACCGAAAAATAATAATCCAAAATATTGTTTTAGGTTATTCTGTTCTGTGTAAGATGCTAATCGGTGTTCATATTTATTTTTCCTCTTAGTTCTGACGGTGTTTATTAAAAAATCATCAGTTTAAGTCTCCAGACCATTATTCAGCCGGTGATGCTACACAGCGCACGGCACTTAAGTTGAGGTATGTGCGTGAAAGGATACAGCAGAGCCTTCCCTTTATAACTATTATGAAATATAAAGAAGACATCCCTAAAGGATTATCAAAACAGAGGTTCAATTTACCCATTTCCATCACTTGCTTTTTTTTTTGTGCAATCGCTATTACATAAGGACACATTATAGTTAAATAGTGGCATTTCAATGTTGAGCTTACGGTTCTGCTTTGCCTGCAGCAGAAAGTAGATCCATGTTCTTATTACAGATTACATGATCGAGCTAAACCCTGAGGGCCCACAGAATACATACAGTCCTCCTACGGTTCATTTTTTTATTTAGAAAAATGAACTTTAAAATAACAAATTCCATCCATGTCCCAATTCTACCTGTGAGTATTCATGTCTTCAGGGGAATAATAAACCCTAACTCCACAATTTCAATGTATTATAAATATGAAAGCGGGCCGGTTGAATTGAAAGCAATTTCTCTAAAAGTCTGATAGGAATTCAAAAGAGGGAATGAAGGGGGGGGGGGGGGGGCGCATATTGTAGGATATATAAAGCTTTATGGAATTTGATTTTAGGACCAACAGTTTGTTGAGATGCAGCTCAAAGGGGAAATGCTGTTTGAAGTCATAAGAGTCGGTCTGCTGTGAGGACTACAGCGTGGAGATGGATCCCAGTTCAAACGAGATAAAAGAAGGCGTCGTCACAGTACAGCGCGGCAGGTGAGGAGAAGCAGCACGCATGTAGTCTTCTACAAAGGGACACACCTCATGCTATGCAGTTTAATGTATACAATGCAGACAAATCCAATAAATAAAATATGAATTAAATAATAAAGCAATGAAGATCATGTCTTCACTGGCCTGGCTGCTGCAGTATGTAACAGAATGGAGCGTGATGCTTAGCAGCCACACAGGAGGGTCCACTGTATGGTGTTGGGTTTGGAATTACCGATACAATGTGCTTATCATAAGAAGTAAATACTCACCTCTACAATCGGAAAAAAATAAACGTTTTGTTATATAATAATAAACCTGTTTGGATAGTTACATTACTGTTATGTTGCCAGAAAACCCACCGTCTTTGTTTTAGTCTTTCAGTTTCATACTGATGTTTTGTTAATACTCCCACGACTATTGTTATGGAGAACATGGAAATCAAAGAATAGTCTGAATTTAATTCTATAAATGAATTGCATTGGCCAGTGTTTGTGACTTAATGTGAAATAATAACGCACTTTTCTTTTATCGCTTGTTTTAGCAACAGAGCAACAACTATAACTTAACAAAATGAAAGTGTGGGTTTTGTTGATTTCATCATCCTTGGAAAACCGTTGACATTCCTCCTGATGGAGCGCAGTAAGTAGCACGCAAGCGATCATTTTGCTCTGCATATTTCACTGGTTGCTGGTTTAAATTGTGCTGCGACTCCTCGTTACCCTGAACAGCACTGTGGGACGCTAAGGGGGGGGCGGGGCCAGCCGAGGCGACATTCCTGTGGGAGTCACAACGTTCCCTCTCCTCAGCAGATAAACACTTCCAGCCTCGCTCGCCCTCAGAATGATACGCGTACGACAACATTACTGGAAGTGAAGTCGGTCTACTTACTTACGTTTCAGATTTATGCTTGGTAAATAATTCAGTGCCGATGCTGGCGGGGATTAGAAATGACCGTGAGGACTTGACATGTACTCATAAAAGTATAAGGCTACAACAACAAAAAAATCAATTTCAAGCTTTCTCATTAAACTTAACCCTTTGACAATCTTTTGTGAGGCATTTTCAGTTGATTTGACTCATTGTATTTAATTTGATTCCATGCGCACACTTTTATTGCCTCTCCTTGGCGAGCAATCACTGCTCTTCAACTGCGGAGGCCAATCAAAGCGGTTTTGTGGAGGTCACAAGAAGAAAAGGCAATCACGGGGAATTTACACATTGTTCCTCCCACATGCGCAGCGTCTCTGGCGGCGCTTTCACTCAGACCGGTCCTCTCTGGAAGTCTAAAAGCCTGTTTTTTTTTGTTTTTTCTTAACACAACAACCTCTTTAACTTGCCAGCGCCGCCGCTGACTCACCGTCTGATTAAACTCTATGTGTTTAGATGACGGGAGAGGAAAAGGAAAATAAGCCCAGCTTCTATCAGAAGCCTGCCTGAAGAGAGGCCCCCGTAGAGGAGCTAATCCGTTCAGCAGAAGCTAATGGGAGGAGAAGAGGGGTCCATTGTGATTTGAGGGATAGGTTAGTGCTGGAAGCCTGCTCATCATGGGTGATTATAGGAGGTGGAGCAGCGGGAGTGGGCTCGGCGGGTGGGGGGGGACTCGTGTAACAGCGGCGAGAGGTAATGAGACGAGCTAGCGGTGTTCGAAGAGGAGAGAGTACACTGAATTCAAAGAGCAACGGCACAGAAAAGAAAAATGGGGGACACCCAGCGATGTATAGATCCGGAGAAGGAAAAAGAGAATTCGGTGAGACGTAATTGAGAGGGGCAGATATAACTGCCTCCAAATGGAGTAGATCAAGTGAAAAACACGATTAATAACTCCGTGCTGTGCTTCTCTGCTGATTTGTCGGGTGAAAATGAAATACTTCCAACAGCGGCTCTGATGCAGGCTGCAACACGCACAATAAGTGGGTGTGTGTCTGTTTGCCACCAGTCAATCACGATGACTTAGTCAGGAGTCGGAGGTGTGATTGAGCTGATGCTAAAAAGTCCCTTCAGGTGGAACTTTGACAACAATGTGGAAGCAGTTGTGTTACGTAACGTGTGTTGTGTTGCCTTGCTGTCACAACTCAAACTGCTCTGACATCTCTGCTTTCCTCATCACGTCCTCTGGGGTTGCATTACTTTTCAGATTTTGATTGGCACATCCTTTGGGTAACAGTTATAAAAGATTAGCCCAAACTTTAGAGATAACACTATTTTCTTTTTCTTTACTTGGAAATGATTTTTATGCATTTCAGTAGGAGGACAAACACAAAGGCAAACAGAGAACAAAGCAGAGGACCACCTACAGGAATAAGCGGTAAAACTGGCATAAACATGTTCCATAGCCTCTCTACTGTGTATATACTGCTGAAGCTCCCCCCACCCTCTCCACTAGTTTATACTGTACACAAGGGAACAGACTCAGATCCTGTTGGCTTTTTACAAACTCAAGTTCAAAAGGACACTTGAGGCCCACGTTAGGAGGAACGTTTTCCACTGCTTCTATCTGCAGAATCTGTAAATCCGTCCTGATACACAAGTCGGTTCTTTGAGATGCATTTCCTTGGCAGCCAAGACATTTTGTTTGGAGAGGAATACAAAGATTAGAGAGAAGATACGGACTGAATAATGGGATGAAGAGCCGGAGGCGGGGGGGGTGGAGGGTGGGGGGGGATCACTCACAAGCGATGCGGACGTGGGCTTTGCGGCTCTTGGTGGTCCCTGCAGAGCTCCAGGCAACACACTGACACCAGAAGTCCTCGGGCCCAAACAGCTCCTCCACCTGCTGCCGAGTGATCTCTATGCTGGCCTCTCTCACTACCAGTCCTTTGAGGGAAATGAGAAAGGGGACGTATTAGCACACATCAACAGAGAACAAAAGCCATCCAACCAACTGAAACAGCCCAAAATGTCAAAACATCAGTTTGTATTATATACACTACCTCACACTAATTAGTCAAATTTAAATTAGTAACATCACATAGTGGGGGCAGAGGGGGGGGGGGGGGGGGGGCGGTGGGTATTTGTGTCAGTCTGGCCCCGATTCCAGAGCCAGAGAGCTGTTTGGGTCCGGGCCCCGTGGGGGGAGGATACTCGGCGTCATGGTTACCACAATCCTGTTTGCTAACTCCTCTGATTACTGCTCATCTGGGTGCCAGGACCCAAACAAACAAATCATCCTCAAAACAAATGCCTTTACCCACAGCTGCCCCTCTCGAGCGGATTAGGCTGCCGCCGCAGTGTGTGTGTGTGTGTGTGTGTGTGTGTGTGTGTGTCGACCATGCATAGGAATTGTGTGTCTGAATTAATGGTTTGTGTGGTGCGCGATGCTCCCGATACTTCTGACGCAATATCAAACCTTATTGCAGCTCAAAGCATCATCCTGTTTGGATTGAATGAGATGTTTGTGAGGATAATGATGGTATCATAACTTGAGAAATGTACTATAATAACTCACTGTGCTTTAGCATTTAGACCACTAGGGCATCATTTTCACTTTAATTTATAGTATCAGACACCATCATGAGCAGGATTGAGACAAGACAGAATGTATTCAGGGGACATGAATAGTCGCCGCAAAGGTACTGTGGAACTTTCACCATAACATGCTGAGCTCACGCTGTGAATAGCTGATGCAACCTCATCATCAAAGTGCTGCACTTTTAGGGTATAAATGTGTGTGTGTGTGGGGGGGGATAGGGGGGGGGGTTCCAGCCCACTGGAAAAAGTTAAGTTGATGTCATTTTCCTGGAACTGTCATGCTCGTGGACCTGGTCAGCAATAATGGGAAAGTGGGACTGGGGCGTTCACGTTATGTCCTGTTGAATGGCCTTCTGTGGGCCTTGGAAACATTCTCTACGCCATAACCACCAGGAACCATCTATAAATGTGTTGTTTTTGTCCAACATGAAATCAGATTGTGTCATCAGTATTACAAACCACTATCCCGGGAGCTCACATTTACAGTTGAAGTATATCCAATAAGGAGATTGATGCGTTGTGCTCCCTCTTCTCGTACTGAGCAGTTCTGTGGTCTGTCTTTTGGTATTTCTATGGTGCTGACCATAAACTGCTATTTCTTGCTCCCAAACTGCTACTGTCTGGAAGGAAGCTTTGAGTCAGCTTCTCGAAAAACCACAAGCGTGACCAATCCGTCTACGTGAACAGGGATGCGCACATCTTATTCTTGCTATTCTTTGTCCTGTTTCTTTTGCACATTTTGAGTTCATTTAAAACAACACATTCACATAGTTTTCTCAAACTTCCCCAACTCTCTGTCCTTAGTGCACAGCATTGCCTCCTAATTCAAAAACAACAGGGGGGCTGATGTCTGTTGAGGAGACACAAATTAAAAGGGCTGCACACAGAGTGCATGCCTATTCAAACAGGGGGTGGTCGCAGAATGAATGAGGCGTGTTGTCAAAAGGCTAGCTAAGTACTAAATTGGAGCTTGTACAAACAAAGGTGTAATGTTTTAGTTAGTGAGCGCACTTAACTATTATTGGGTGTTGATAACCAGCCAGCCAACAGTTCAAGATGGCTTTGTTTAAGCCTAGTTGTTGTTGTTGCTGCTTGACGAGAGCATTTTTCTTTTTTCCAGCGCAGCAGTCAATAAAACGAATGTGCCTCGTAAGACAATTCTTTCAGTTGACCAGTCTGTGTTTCTAACGCTGATTAAATAACTTCTGTATTGGACTCATGTTGAACAATTTCAACTATTGCGGATGTGACATCATTAACATGCCCCTTGTGTCACCGTCAAACCATTGACTCATCTTGTCTCGATGTTTTTTCAATCAGTAACCCAATCTTCGCCGGAATTCTAATTCATTATATTGTGACTCATTATGCCACCTGCCAAAGTGGACATGAAATGAACCTTTTTGAGACACGCTGTGAACATTTGCTAGTAGTATAAAATTGGAAAATTTGCATGGCTTAAAGTGTGAAAGTAAGATTGTTTGATGTGGAAAAGTGACAATTGTTATGTTTCTTCAATTTTCGTAACATTTCATTTCAATTTATTATGCCAGTAAAAACTCCATATACACAGCGGTTTTTGTAGATATCACTACAATGTAAAATGAATCAGTGAAATATTTCCACATGAGCATGACGGTATCTTAGCAGACAATACATTTGTCTCGGCCTTTTTTTTACGCCTATATTCATAAGCCCACCTTTATTCTCCTCTTTTGGATGAACCCAATTAGTACAAAGGTTCAGGATTTATTCTGCGGGGTAGCTTTACGCTGTATGCGTCTGAATTTCTGGTTTAAAATGCAAAGAGACTGGCTGGTTGAAAAAATGAACATGTCATTTTACTTCAGGTTCAGTGCATTCACACAGCCTCCTTGTTCTGGCACACACACACACACACACACACACATGCACACACACACACACACACACACCAGGCAGAGGGACATCCCACACACCAGCTTAGCTCTCATGTAAAATTTACACAGTGTGCAGACAGGCAGGAGAGCAGCCGCGTCTGTTGTCTGCACATTTGCTGCTGCATGTGTGTGTCCACATGCATGTGTGAGTCCAAGGGAGTGTGTCTGCAGTTGTCTGTACTGCATGCCAATGTGTCTTAGAAGATGTGTTTTGTTAGTTTGAGAATGTCAAAGGTGGATGTGATGGATGTTAGAACATCCCGCAGAGTAGTGGAGGCTAAATCAATATCAACAGTAAGAATAAAGGAATTCTCCAAGGGGCGTAAAGCACGCGCCAGAATCAGCTAATTCTCCATTTGTGGTCCAGACTGTTTCTATCTAAGATTCTAAGATTCTATAGCTGGGAATTATCTGTCTGTTGGTAGCACCCTCCAACATAAAATAGCCTAAAGTGACGGTGACTATCAGCCATAAGTCGACTCAATACTAAAGCATGACTTCATTGAAGCAGGATTGAACTCTTCCTGGCATGTTGCACTGTAAACTCACCACAAGGATCATTCCAGCTGATCTGGGCCCGCTGACCTCACCCACTGACGTCATGTGACTGCTCAGCTCTCCGCAATACAACGGTAACGACAACAGCGGCACAGATTCAACTTGCCACCGTGAGGGGCGAGCGAGCGTGGTCCGCGTCAGGACCCGTGTTGAGGGGCTGCTCCACACATGTCAATGTGGCCATTAGCAGTAGAAATGATTCAGCAATAAGTCCCATTAATAGGCTGAGGTAGGGCGCCTCATTGGAGATGATTCATTCTTTATGTGCTCCGTAGCGTTAGCACTGGCTAACATCATTGATGAGACCAGTCCGGCAGGAAAGGGGGCAGTGGTCACTGAAGGAGGAGGGAGAGGGTAAGTGCTCCGATCAGCTGGCCGGATGGCACCACTGATTCGCCATCACACTTTTATTCTTGTCTCCTCCTGGTCACATTTTGCACATGGGACCTGAATCTATGGTTTTATCTCACGTGCATCCTTGTTATTTTACAGAGAGCTTAACTGGTTCAAATCAGAGTGGGTTACAAATAAAAATAAAACTTGCCTTCGCTAGGGCTCCATAGCTAAAAATAAAAAATAAAAACCTTACATTCTCTGGGGGGGGGGGTTTGTGTCACCTGCGCTTGTGTGTCACGTGCTCCACACCTTGCCCACCGTGTGCCATATCCGTTGGATTAAAAAGCATAAAGACAGGAAATGTACCTGCGTGAGGTCTCATGGAAAGTGGCAGCTGAGAGCTGCAGGTGAATTGTGTCACGCTGTTAAGGACATTGTGCAGAAAGGGCTAACGGTGACTCAAGCCACTTATCGCTGATTACGTCGCAACAGCCGATGCCACAGAAATTGTGCTTTCAGCGGGAAGTGGTTTCATGACGCACATTTTAAACTTTAAACTTCCCACTTTAAAACTTGTCCTGTTTTATTGTGGTACAGGATTGATCCAATGTAAATTGCATGCAATGCATGTAGCCTGCAACTTATTACGTTTCTTACACTCTCTTAACGTCATTATCTCTGTTTTTGTCTAAGAAAGGGTACGATACAAACACAGGGTTTGGGTAAAGAGGAGGGTAAACAGGGAGAGATCCAATTTATTCTGGCTAAACTATCAGGGATATTGACCAGGCTGTCTGGTTTCTATCGGTGCTCCTTTTCTGTCAATCTATGGAAATCAGAGAGCAATCGAGTGGGTTGAGCAGCTACAAAGCTACAAACATCCACTGGGCCCTTGTGGTGTTGTGGGTTGGTGTGTGTTGGGTGCAAGGGCATGAATGAATGAATATCTGTGCAGTAAATAGCCTGTGGAAATGGTTGTAGAGTGGGTGCATGTGTGATGTGTGGGCTGTTTTTCTATGTTGATGCTTTTAGCACAAAACCTTCTGACACAAAGGCTAAGAGACACTGATATCTTCGCCCTCTTCTTTGTCATAATCATACCCATGAAACACATCCTCAGATCTGTGTATCCTTCCAAAGGTACACCAGGTCAGAATGAAAAGATTTCAGGTTGCGATTTCGGTTGTTTTTCACTTCACACTGTACTCCTTTATATCTGTGTGTCTGCTTTTATATTTTGCACCAGCTTGCAATAATACAAAATACCCGAACAAAAGGATGCTTGCCGATCCTCGAAGTGTTTGTAAGTGCGTGCTTACGTGAATAAACATTTCAATTTAAGTGAAGAAGCAGCTGCCGGTGTCTGAGCACACAGGCGTTTGTGTCCGTGGCGAAACAGTTAGATGAAAGGGGTAAATGCGGTGTGATTGGTACCTGTGGGCGACAGAAAGAACTCAATTTCTAATACAGCAGCTGAATGCAGCCAATCAGTGCTGGGCTTGTTGTGTGTAATGGCTGTGGTGCCGTTGGGGACTGTTGAGCTTCATTACTTTTACCTCTTCTTGATGTGCACAAACATGCACATAGACACAGCTAAAAAAAGAAAAGAAAAGAAAACACAGCACAGTTTGCAGTGCTTCTCAGGTAAGGTAATGTATTGATCGTGTAAAACGTAATATAATTTATCAATATAGATTTTCTTTTATTGAACAGTGTATTCAGATCTGTGCACGGAGGAGTGTGCAGCCGATCCTTTGTACTGACCGGTGTTCTCGTCGACCCGCTCCTCCACAGTGTGCTCCTTCTGGTGAACCCACTCGCTGTTGCACTTGAAGTAGATCTGGGTTGCGGGCGTGGCCTTGCAGTACAGGTTGACCGGCTTGTTCTTGACAATGTAGGCCTCCTCCGGCTCCATCAAAAACACCGGCAAGGGCTCGGGCGGATCCGAAGGGAAGGTTTCCGGCAGATCGCGGAGACCGATGAAGTCATCCTCGACTGTGGAGAGAGAGACGGAAATAAGATGAAGGGAGGGAGGAGAAGATGGATACAGGGGAGTTGGGGGGGGAGATCAGAGGCAGAGAGGCCGAGAAAGAGACAGAAAGGGAAGCAGAGGAGAGACAGCGGGACAGTGTGTTACAACCGCAGTCTTTGCATGGGATTATCCATCAGCGCAGCACACAGTGAAATCCCTATCATTTGATATTTTGGAATGTTTACACAAGTGTATTTTAGAATGCAGGAAATTCTGCGATTCCTCTCAGGCAATAAGGCCGCGTGGCTTTACAGGAAAAAAAAAGTCTGACCACAACCGGCTACCACGGAGGGAGAGGGAGCGAAGAAGAGCCAATAATGAGAAGTCGAGTTCAGAGGTTGACTCTGAGGAACTGAAGTTATAAGCTGATCTCTCTCTCTCTCTCTCTCTCTTGCTCGCTCTCTTCTGCTTTGCCTTTGTTTCTCTCTCTCTCTCTCTCTCTCTCTCTCTCTCTCTCTCTAGCACACGCTCGCTCACATACACATCCACATTTCACAAAGACACACACACATACACTCACACACATACACTTGCAGCAGATCTAATGACCTCAGGCTTTTGGCCCAGTTTGTGCCATTCCTTGGATACTTCTGCAGTAGACAGATACGCTTCCCTGTAATTACAACTCCCTTTCATCTCCCTGTCTTAAATCAAATACACTCAGCCGCATGTGCATGCGCACTTGCTCACACACAAACACGAACACACGCTCACAAAACAAAGCGAGCACACAGATGCATGGGCACGGAGGCCCACGAGCGAGCACGGTTAACTGTCTAACTCTTTGAACGCAGGAGGAGGATGAAGCCCGTTCGCCACCCCGTTTGTCACCTCCAGAACTGTTCTATTCTTACCATCGAACCGGTAGACATCAATTATTCACAAGTGTGAAAGAAAGGAGGCAGAGTAATAGAGTAAGAGATACAGTGGGAAACAGACGGTGGGTTAGGGAAGGAGAGAGAAAGGAGAACAGGGAGAGACGGCGAAAGAAACTCAGCCAGACGGACATGGATTGAGACGTCGAAGTGGAGCCGGGCAGACGGAGAAAAAAAAACCGCTGCAACGGGAGAACAGAAGCGGGAAAACAGAGCTGTTCGGATAACAAAGGAGTTTATCGGCCCATCAGTTTTTCTTCCATGTCCTTCTATCTACCCGCCTCCGTGTCCTGTGTGGACACGCTGGAGCCGTGTTGTCTAACAGTGGTTGTCTCCTGGATGCTTTGGGAGCACTAAATAATGTCTCGGCCGGAGCAGATATCTCCTCGCCCCGACTCTCTAATGTCATCTCTCCCTCCATACCTGCCACAGATTGCAGTTGATTGCTAGGAAATGAAAGGGCAGGGAGAAGCCAGATCAGAAAAGGGCCAAAGCCGCCCTCGCCACGCTAGTTTGTCTGTGTACTACTATGAAAGTGTTTGTGTACGATGCCGGGCAGTTGTGAGTGCTTCACACCAGTGAAAACAAGTTCCAACTTCTCTCCTTCTTCGGGCTCCTAATCGGGTTCTAATTGAGCAGAAGCTGTAAAGCCTCAAGTGACCTCTGACCTTTAAGAGCAATCGCCTCTTTACGCTCTTTGTAAAGAGAGCTGGAACACGATCGTAGCTGTTTTGACCGACTTTCATCTCGAACCAACGGAAAAAAAATGTCATCGGTTGTGTCTCTATGGAGGTGATGAACTCTTTAATGCAGACGTCGGTTAGTCGGTTCTTCTCTGCTCCGTAGTCCACCCACATCCTCAGCCAGGGGACCCTGACCCAGAAACATGCAAAGAGAGCCAAGGAAACTCATTAAAGCCTCCATTGCCATTATCTCTCCATCTCTCTCTCTCTCTCCCTCCTGGCTCCCTCGTTCTGTCGAACCGCGAAGCAGAGAGATCTGAAACAGCCATGAAAGCGTCGCTCGCTTGCACACAGAGACGAGCGTCCCACACGCTCGCACGTATGCACCCCGTGCAGGCGTTAATGCGCATAGAGGCGCACGCACACACACAAACTTGCTCACAGATATTCGAATTCATCAACTTCCTCAGTGCGAGAAATAATAAATTCAAGTGAATGGAACCAGCCCTCCAGTGAAAAATCCCCCTCGAAATGAAAAAAGACACCACATGACTAAATGAAAGAGCCTGACTCCTTCCAATCACATTTCCCGCGCCAAACCCCCCCTCTCCATCCCCCCTCCACCCGCCTCCCTCATGCACACACACACAACAACATCCCGTGAAACCCAAGCCCCCCCGCCTGAACAGAATACAGAAAGCAACAGGAAGCTCAAACAGAAACCTTCATGTAAAATAGTTCCTAAACAAACAATACTTTTTTTTTGGTCACAAGCACCAAGATGATGCAATCTTATATAAGCATAGTTGCGACGTGTACAATCAAAACCCAACAGCTAAGAACATGATTCAACTCATACCAACTAAATATTAATTGTGAGAATAAAAAAAAGAAAGAAAGTGTCATCCCTTATTAGGAACATTAATATGGCATCCACTGTTTGATATGCACTATGGATTTTTTCCCAGCATTTGCAATTCTGGGGTTTGATTTTAATCAGAAAATTTGCCTCCATATTGAGTGTTTAAAATTTAATGAAATATGTCCTTGAAGCACTATTATTCAAATTGTATTTTCCTCTGTAATTGGGTGAGTTTTCCTAACTCATATTGTAAGTTATTGAATATTTTAACACTCAAATTGAATGTTAGTTGAATTTTAAATCAGCTCCACATCCCAACTTAAAAAGAGTTTTAAAGATAAATGAGCGGCTGATTTGATCAGGTAGAGGCCAAAACTGTTTGAAGAAATAAACCTGTTAAAGAAGAATGAGAATGAATCAAATTAATCCCAGATTAGCACGTAGAATGGGTATGAGAGGGTCTCTTTGGCTTGAATCAACAACAATAACTGTGGGAGTGGGGCATTATTAAGGGATGATTAAAGGCAAACCTCAACACTGGCAAAGCTCCATGTCGAACCCATAGTTAGCCGAGATGTGAAAGAAATCTGCACAAAGAGGCACATCTTGAGTTAAATAAACTGTTGCATCGAGTAATGCACAACCCTCACAACAAAAGCGACCGTGCATGAATTCAAAATAAAAGTTTGTTTTCTGTTTAACGTCGTCGGGGGGGGGGAGTCATCAGTGCGCTGAATCTTACAGCGGCTGAATGAGCTGATATCAATAGTTTTCATTAGAAAATGAGCACCGGCCGGCGATAAAAAGAATCCAGTAATTGCAGTTCAAGTTTAAAATGAGCTACAGCGATGCCTCCTGAAGCATTATGACTCCTGACCACTGCTTATCACTGCTCCACTTTTCCTGGACCGTCAATACCGCAGTCACATTAATGAGGTCTATTGTGCTGACGAGACATCCACAACACATTAGACACCGAGCGGGCCGCCATGACTTATTCCGGCTCCTCAGACCATAAATGCTCGGGCAATTTTACATTTTGACATGTCGTGTCAACAGGAGGCCAAAGTCAATACCAGCCACCAAAGAGGCTTTGGAAACGTGCCAACTCAAGACTGAGGAGAATTTCTGTAGTTTGCAAAAGTAGCAGATTCACGGGAGAGTTTACACAAGATTATTGTGAGTCCATCTATATTGGTAAACTGGAGATAAGGTCAGCCATTCAAATCAAGCAATAACTTTTTAATGTTATTGCTTGATGGAGATAGAGGCAAACAGACACACAGAAAATTCCTTCCCACATATGCATTATGTATGCCATATAGACCTTATGCAGTTGATATATCGCCCTTATTCCTGTATGTCTGCGCTGAATATTCCTAAGGCCGTATTTCTTAAGCCATATATATGCGAGTGTCTGCGATAACAGCTTTTGAATGCCGGTCTCTGACACCACTGTGCAAGATAAGCTCTCTCTATTCTCCCTGTACTGGCGTAGATTTATTGTCCCGAGAAAAAGCGCTGTATCAGTGGGGCCAATGTTTCCCTTCAATCGGGAGAGAGTCAAGCATGAACGAGGATGAGCCCTGGCATAAATCTTCTCCCTCCTCATTCCCGTTTTCGTTTCTATATGTCCTCTTCACCCTCTGGTCTGTCCCACTCGCCCTCGTCACCTTTTCTTACCACTCAGTCTTTTTCATCATTCTCATATACATCCCGCCTTCATATGGAGAAAAAGACGGCTAAGTGGTTGGGCCGGATAGACAACTAGGGAGCTTTACTAGCCGATGCTTTGCTACGCCGCGACGGGGAAGGACAAGTGGTGGTTTGCAGCTGAGTGGTCGAGCGGAATAATAAACCACTCAGCTGTCATGTCAATTGAAGCAGGATAAATCGACTGTCAATCAGATCTACCTATAAATGTACTTTGAGCACACCTACCCATTATATTGAGTGAACATAACTCAATGGTAACGACCTCTTCCAGTCAATACTTGTTAGCATTGGAGCCATACATCCCAGCAGCCCTAAATCAATGTGTATGGCTGTCGTTTTATAAAGCAAAATCCTTTAGAAGCTCCATGAGAAACAGAAACAGTGAGCAGAGGCTTACTTCCACTCTAATGTCTCTTTCCAGCCAAGTGCTTTATAAACACTAATGTGTCTGCACACATTGTCTAAAGGGCCCCATCTGACGCTTGGCTGCAGCAGGTATGTATTGATTACTGTTGGGGGGGGCGGCCAGTGACCCCTCCCGCGCCAGGTCCTATCTCAGCCGCTGTGCTGGGGCGTGCTCATATTTCATCTCGGGGGAATCCTGTCATCACACAACATATAGCAAGAGAGGATTTAGTGGAGAAAAAAAACAAGCCGACGGTCCTTACAGTGAAAAGTCAGGCGAATCCAACCCCGGACCTCCCGATCGCCCCGCGGCCCCTCCTCCAAACCCAACCCCCCCCCCCCCTCCCCCCGGGCTCCTGGTGGCTCCATTTCTGTTCGCGATGACCCGAAGAGAACCCTTGCAGACTATAGCCGCCAAATAA